CAGTTCTTTCTTTGTTACGCTGCTTCAGTTACATCATTCACTAACTTCTTTTTTTAAAATATTTTTTTTTTATTAAGGGAGGAGATAAATACATGACTGAACAAATTAAACTACAAGGTGTGCCCTTTACAAGACTCGGTGAAACAATGAATCCATCAGAAGGCGTGTGTCAATATCCTACAGTGAAACTTCATGCAACAACATTTAATGACACTGAATATATACAGATGTAAAAGGCTGCCCAGGGAGGCCTCAGAACTCCTGCCACTTGAAAGATTATTAAGACCCAACTGTCATCAGGAATTTTTGAAACAGAAGGTCTTTGACCATTGTGATTTTTAAACATTTATTTCATAAAATAAAATTAAGGGCCTTCCCCCCTACACCCTCGAATCTGCATATTTTTCTTTGAAATGACAATAACTTTAAAGGGACCATTGTTTGTGTTGGTCTAAGAGTTTTAAACCGCTGCTTTTCTTAGTGGTCTATGGTATAGCTTCTCTTCTAATCCCACAACTTAGTTTGTGAAATGATTCATGAAGCAAGAAAGGATAGCCAGGGTCAAAGTCAGGTGTCTTTCCTGCCAGGACTGTAAAGTATCAGGGTTTTCTATTTTTATAGAAGAATATAGCTATGGTCAATAATTTAATGGCCTCTGCAGATGGCTTTTTTAAATTTTGGTATAGAAATTAAAATTAACCACATAGCTTGATGCCATTTTGATTTCAAACAGTTATTGTTTATTTTCACTCATGTATCCATTCAATAAACATTTACCAAGCAGCTACTGTCTGCTAGGTATTCTTCAAAGCACTTTAAAGACAGACCCAAGAGTAAAACAGCTGATGAAAAGAGCTGAGTGGCGGTAAAGCAGAAAATGGTTATGGGTGGTGGTCTTTTATAATACAGCCCTCTGAAAGAAAAAGAATATATATGAGCAGGATCTCAAGGAAGAGGGGTAAGCCATGTAAGTATGTGATGGATGAGGTTTCTGGATGAGATACCACAGTGGGCCATGCTTTGAGGGTATTTTGGGTAAAGCATAGACTGCATGGCCAAATCCAAGTGAACAGAGAAAAAATGGGTCAAAGAAGGAGTTATGGTAGTTGAGGAAGGTCAAAAGTTAGGGCAGAGTATTTCAGTGGTTTTATTTGCCACATGAATATGTTATTTTAAGCCATCTAGGGGGGGTACTGTAGAGCTTAATAGAATGGCTTGTGTTCTAAAAGCAACATGCCAAGTAGAAAGTGGCCAGGGCCCCAGATAAGATCATGATATTCCCAGAATCTAAGGAAGGGCACATTTCCAAAATACGGTATTTGAAAGGAGAAAATTAGGGGTGACAGAGAGATTTTCTGGTGTGGAAGAATGGACACTTGATAATCTGTGGAAGACGATGGATCAGTTTGTTCTGTTGGGACCCAGCACATATGGACATGATGATGCTTTTTAGGAAATTAGGCATGTGAGTCCAGCATTCAGGAAAGAGGCTGGGGCTGGAGATGAGAATGCGTCCTATGACATCGTATAGATGGTTTCCAAGGCTCAAGACTGAAGAAAAGGGCTATCCAGTCCTAGCTACTAGCACACGCCAGCAAATGGGGAAGTGCAGGGCATATGAGCCATTTAAGGAACCAGTTCCTGACCGAGTCAAAGATTGCAGCTTAGCAGCATGCAGCCAGGGAGCTGGTTGCTGCGCTGAGCAGGGAGGCAGTCACTAAAACCCTCAGCAAAGCGACTATCCTGGAGATGAAAGACTGATTTAAAAGGTTTCAAAAGGCCGAGGAAAGAAATTCAGTTAGTGAGTAGACACAGTTACTCTGGGGTAGTGGAGCGAGAGGTGGAAGTGAAATGGAGTGGTAGGGCCAAGGAGTGGGTTGTAACTCAGGACCCTGTATCATTAATGTGTGTGACCTCCAGGAGAATGGAAGACACTTGTGATGTCAAAGAAAAGGGGATATGGGTGAAACCATGGCCTTTGTTCGAAAAGGATGTATAAGACGCACCATGAGCCAATGGGAAGAATTTTCCACTATGGCTTTAGGAGCTTCTATAGTCATTCATAATAAGGTTCACCAGTCAGGATCAGGAAAACGAGAAGCCAGAGTTTTTTTGTAGGTGTGTCATATGAATACTAAAATCGTCAAGCATCCGAAGGGTAGTGGGAAATGGCAGGGGCCATGGGACGAGCACATGGAGACTTGGGAGAGTGACTGAAGGGGACTCAGGGACTTTCTCAGTAGATGATAGAGCTTCAGGGAAGAGGGTATCGGGAAGAACAAGGAGGAATGGCGATGAGGAGTTAGCATGTGTCTTGTTCCCCTTAGTTCTTCAGTGTAAACATGTTGTCTGTAATAACGTAGAATAACACATCCCGAGATACAGGTCTAGGTGCTCTGGCAAAGAGCCTGCCAAAGGCTTCCCAAGTGCAGCACAGACACCTCTAGAAAGCACTGGAAGAACTGTGGTATAAGTGAAGGAAAGAGCATACTGAAAAATAAAAGTTTCAGGCTGGAAGTTTTTCAGGAAGATACAGAGGGACAACTGTATCCAGTTTCAGCAGATTTCTTTGACCATTCAGAACACTGTTGAAAACTAGAGCTTTAAACATGTAAGCAACCACACACACTGCAAAAGAATACTTTCCTAGTGTTGTAGATCTGCCATCTCTCTGCAGTCATATTAACAGCGTAAGACAGCTAAAACGTCCAAAAGAAAAGTCCTTTTAAAACATGCAGTTTTAAAATGTATGTAGGCTATTGTCCTCTCCCCCATGGCTGCCATCCGACATGTGAAATTCTAACTTAGGCAAATGCTTCAGGTTCCTTAAGCAAACTACACTATGCATTGCTATGCTTTAACCTGGGGAAGGGATTCTCAAATGGGGCTATCGAAGCATGGATATTTGCTGTCTGTAAGAGATAAATCATCAAAACCAAACTCATGCAGAGTAAATGAGTGCAAAGAGGATTACACACAGCCAGAAATCTGGAAACCTCAGGGCATTTTTTTTTTCAACTGTATTTTCTAGAGTCATCCAAATGTTTATTGAGATTCTGATCTGACTTAAAATAGTACAAACCTTATCCAGGGAGCTTTCATTTAGAAACTTTTGGGGAGATCTTTGTTGTTCTGTATTGTGGGCCTTCATGGACTGGCATGGCAGTGGGGTAAAGTTCAAAGCACAGGGTCGTGATCTCATATTATTTAATGCTGTGCAAACTGTTGAATCTCAAAAATGTCTATGGAGAAATTCTTAGAACAGTATCACAGTATGATAATAAAAGTAACACTACAAAATACTTGGCAGAAGTGTCCGTGCTGTCAGCTCTGGATCTGCAAACTGTAAAACGCTCCTACTCTCTGTTTGGCTCTGGAACAGAGAGCATCTTATAGTCACACTATGCGAGACTCATGGAAGGAAAACTCATTGTAGGGTCCCTATTGCTGCTGAAGTGAGCAAGGCCAAATTTGATGGCATTTATATGAATTTCCAGCAGGTAAATAAAGACTTAGACTTTCGGGGTTAAATTTTGTGTTACAGTTACGTAGTCTCAAGGACAGCGGGGTTTGCACGTGTTGTTTGAGACAGTTAGATTTAACTTTTCAGGAATGAACCAAAAGGTAATCCATAATTTACAACTGTTGAGATGGTCAGAACATAGTACCAGAGAGTCTCTGGAGTGCTTGGACCAGGGTCAATTTTCTCATGTTTTCCTGAAACTCATCAAGATCAAGTTTGATCAACACCTATATATTCTTTCTTAAGAATAATGCAGCACAACGTATAGTGCAGAGCAGTCAGCATGAAGGCAACGGTGCCTGTGTACGAAGACTTTCCAAGACAGCGCACACAGAATGCTTGCATGGTTTGGGAGTACAACGACAGGAACTTGTACACACAGCAGCAGGGAAAGCGGTTTTGTAAGGAGAACTTTGTGGACTGTGAAGTCAGACTTTGGCCCTTCTTTGTCAATGGACAAAACTCAAATGGCTCAGGCCTGAGTATCACGCCTCTTTCTACACTAGTGCACAGGAAAGACCAGAGACACAATCATCAGTGCACCACAAGAGCAGACAGAAAACTGTTAGAAGGTAGTGACAGCCAGGAATTACAGCGACTTAAAAAAAAAAATGTGTCCTTGATGCAAGGTGTGTCATCCCAGAAATCAACGGTAGTATGATAGCATTAGAGACACAGAGCCCTGTCCACGTGGCCTTGTAAGAGTTTGCCCTTACTTCTATGTATGCTATTGAATCAACAACAAGTTTAGGTCTTAACGTTTGTTTAAAATTCCCCCAGGAAGAAACTGAGCTCCATCTAACTAGGCCTATCAGATTTCATGTGGTGCTTGATGTAAGTTTTGTTTGTTTGGTGTAAGATGGTTGTGTATGACCTGGATGAAGTCAGTGGGGGGGAAGATTCACAGTTCATCCATATCTACCATTCACTGAATACAGGAATCTGAGCACAACATCCTGGCTAGCACTCGGTTACAGTGGTTTCCTTCTAGGACCCGGACCAAGGCTGTGGTGTGGGCACGCTCAGTGTGTTTGCTGCACAGTCAATTGCATTGAGAATGGACAGGTCTACTAAAGCTTAATTTTTGGGGAAGGCTATTCCTCCTTGTAGAAAAACAGAAACTTGGCTAATTTCTACGAGGAAAAAAAAAAACCTTTTTAAAGGAAAGACCAAAACAGAAAACATTTTAAATTACAACACACCCACCAGAAAAACAAACAAACAAAAATCAATCCCAAATTTGGGAACTGCATGAAGAACCACAAGGGCACCATTCTGATGTATTTTGCATGACCGAGGTCTCATGATGTCAGGGTTGAGACCTGTCATAAGTGCCAGAATATTTACTTGTGAGGATAACTGCTTCAGGGACCTCTATAGTGTATTTTAAGGAGCAGAGATTAGCGGGGTCCTTTTAAATTTGGTTTTGCCATATGGTCAGTGCAAAATATTTGTACAAAAATATAAAAGGCATGGCTTGATGTTTAACGTCTGTGTTTTATTTTGTTGGCACCAGAAAAAGCTCATGTCATGTTATGTCACTGTACATACTGTAAACAAGACGGCATTAGTATGTTTTCTTATGATTTTTTTGTTCCAATGAATCTAGATTTTAAAAAATACATTCACAAACTACCTTATGTTTAAACACAATGATTCCCTTTTATTTCTTAACTGTACCCAAAGTCCCACAATAAAAAAATCATTTAAAGCTGTGTGTTTTAGATGTATCGCTTAGAAATAAGAACAAAACAAAACAAAACATAAAAACAAAGATCAGTTTGCAACATAATTTAAGGAAGCCTCTGGTTCGAACTATCACAGCAGCAATATAAAGAGCCTGGTGGCAATCACATTTGGAGACACATTCGTATTATTTTTGTCCACGTCAGCATCCAATTACAGTAGTTGCTGAATTCAACCCAGAGCTATTGCTGAATTTGTCCCATGGAATTTGAAGAAGACAGTGTTGTCTGGCAGCATAACCCCAGCAGTAAAAATGAGAACGGGAGGATTTCATTGCTTTTGAGAGCTAGAGGGACCGTGATGGGCACACCGTGGTGATCGCCTGAAGACCACCCTCATTGCATCCCTGCGTGTTACCTTCGTCAGATAACTGCAAACAACAATCACCTTCAGGGGTTACAGAATCACCTAGTCCAGAGCTCAGAATACTTTCCCTTTCTCATCCCCTTTGGCCAAACCACCAGATTAAAAAAGTACCATTTTCCTACCATGTGTTTCGTTCTCATTTATAGTACATAAGCTGCTCATTTGTTTAGGCAAAAATCAGTAGAATCACAGTTTCTGTCTTTCTTTTTTTGATCCATTTACAGTAATTGCATTCTTTAAAAACAAACTGCATTAGATTTTTGTCATTGGAGATTTTTTTTCTCCCTCCAATTTTAAAGAACAATTTGGTCAACTACTGTTTTGAAAATATTCAATACAGCTGAGATTGCCAGTTGAGCTCTCTATATGTCTCCTGGATATAACACCGCTGTGATGAACAGAGAAACAAAAACAAACAAAACGAGGTAGGTTAAAACAGGAAGCACAGCACAGATACCGTTTTGCAACACCTGGATACCGTAGGCGGCCATGCTTATAGCTCTGGGAAATATCCCAGTCAGTCACATAAAGGTTCAAATCATTCGAGTAAGGGTTGTTTTTTTTTTTGTTTTTGTTTTTGTTTTTTGTTTTTTTTTATGTTTGTTTTTTTTTTTTAATAAGGACACAAGTCAACCTGAACTAAATACATACACATCTCTGCACAGATGCTGTTAACAGTATGTTGGGAAGTTTGGAGGAACATAATGTGATTAGGGTCTCAGAATTTTGGCCAAAGCCTTGCCTTCAGTTTCCCTAAAATCTGAGCTGTTGGTGCCTGCTGTGTCTGTGGCAGGCTTATGAGTCTAGTCACTTGACCCAGTGAAAACACAGGCAGCTCAGAAACATTTATTAGCAATTCTTTCCTGTCACAGTTTTTATCTTGAGAAAGCGGCACCCTTGGGAGGGGGCTGGGTTTCCAGAGCTTGGCTGTCATGTTATCCAAGCTCCAAGAAAAATCTCAGTCAGTCTCAGTCTTACCAAAGCCTGAAGGGACCTCTTAGCAAGGAGGCTTTGTGCCTTTAAGAAAGAACGTGTGTGTATTTACATAGACATATTAGCTCATTTCTCAGAAGCTCCTTCTGGGTGACCCACCTGTCATCCCATCTTTTGCCCTGATCTGTTGCATAATAACCGAGGGACAGTTACATCCCAGAGTCCCTCCCCAATCACAAGCCCACTCAACTCAATGGCATCCCTGTACCATTCAACACCCTCCATTCTAGAAAGGGCCATATCAAAATACGGCCTGTCAGACTCAACAAAAGTGGTAGTTGATTTTATTAGATTAGGGCTAGTAGTTTAGCCATTTAAAATCTATTTCCCCAGAGAGGAGAAAACCAGCTATTTTGCTTCTCTTTCAAAAATTCATTAGTCAGTAGCAATAATAATAATAATAATAAAAAAGACAAAACAAAACAAAACAGCCTCTTGGGTTGGTGAAGGCAAGAGAATTCTTAAATTACCCGCCTCTGCGGTTTTGGCCTTCAGTGGAGGGAGATAAGGTACATTTATTGTGCTGTCTCTCACTACTGGGAATTGGAAAATTTACAACAAACCATATACTTAAAGCTAGCAGGCAGACAGAATTTAAAAAAGACTAATTTCCCAGTACGCATTTCTCCCCATTCTTACAAAGTAAGGTGGTAAAGAAAAAAAATGTTAAAAAATTCAAACCAAGAGAACTGAAGAGCCAGCATAAACACAGCTTAATCATAAGAGCACACAATATTTGTTTCTATCCCTAACCCCGAAGGGCACACAGTCCATCTCTGTCCACAGACAATGCAGCATCCTCGGGATCTCCCAGACACGCCTGCCACCTTTCTCTCCTCCTCAACCAGGCTGCAACACTGAAAGAAGGACCATATTGGGAGAGATGGAGGGAGAGGAAACGGGGAAAGCGGTATGTTCAACCAGGCCTTCTGATTCTGCCTCTAGACTGGCATACGTCCACATGAGTTATGTTCTTTTACAATAGAAATAACGCCATGAAGATAAGTGCCAAGTGCTCTTCTGTTACCAGTTCATCATGGAATTTCTGTTGAGGGTCATGAAAAACACTTGGCTACTTCCTCCAGATCGCACGGATGCAAAAAATACCTGTTTGAAATTAAAAACAAGTTAGTTCAACTTCATGGTTTTTTTCTTCCCCCTTTTCTTCTTCAACTGTCCAGCCATTTTCTCTCACATGCCCTATCCTCACCACGTGTCAGCTGTTTCAGTGGCCAGTGTTGGCAGTGACTTCTGAGATAGCGCACTGTCTGGAGACCCTCAGGCCCTCACGTATGTTCTCGAACATTATTATTTATTGCTGGACTTCTGGCGGGGACAATGACGATTTCTAAAAAAGGGTACAGGTGCTATCTTTCTCTCCCTCGTAATTGATATGGAGGCAGATGGAAGAGAATCCCTTTAAATACCTGAAGTTATGGGCAAAATTTGGGGGCCTACCTACAGTTTGTACAACTTCAGTGTTCAATTTTTAAACTTGAAAACAAAGAAATCAAGAGTGGCTATGGTTGATTAGGCTAAGGTGTTGGATGCATATTCAGTCTGGTGCTCTACGGGTTAACACTTTGTCTCTGCTGATGCTGGCAGATCCCGGGCCAGAGGAGATAATGGCATTAATAAGCAAAACCACAGTCCATTAGGTCTGAGCCAGCTCAAACACTTTATCAAAGGCCTGGGAGAAGTGAGCAGAATTTAGATTACTGCTTACTTGAGCTGAATGTCAGTGAACCACGGCCCCGGGAAAATAATATTTGGGGCTGTGCAGTAGCCCTTCAGTCAGCCAGTGTTTGTGGTCTGAGGAACGAGTAGGTGTCACTAGTGAAAAGTCTGTGCTACTATGTCTCCATGGCTTCTCAAGAAGCTTCTGGAATTGCTTGACATTTAGCTAAAGCTACAGAGGAAAGTAAGGCTACTCTACGGGGTCAGTGAGTCAGAGGACAGTGAAGATTTGCTGAAAGGAAAGGGTTGCTGTTTTCCCTGGTTGTGGGTTCAGGGATTTATCCAGAGGCTCCAGTCTGAGTGTATGGGCTGGACCAGGCCTGCTGGAGTTGGTCATCAAGAACTAGAGTATGGTTGTCTACACTGGTAACATTTCATATCTGAGTATCTACGACTGCAGAAGTGTTGGAGTCTTACTTGATAAATCTAGTTTCAGACATACTCTGATAAGACCCCTGGTAACCAGCCTTGTCTTCCACAGCTACTGTCCACTAGACCACACCAGGTCAGAAGCAGTTAGCCAGGTTCAAAGAATCCAGACCCACGTTACTAGGGTTGGATCACGACTAGCCTGGCCTCTGGGGAACTGGGGTGAACAAAGAAATGTAAACAGTTCGACCCATCCCATTCTTTTCTATGTGGACATGGCTGTTAGGCTGAACATGATCTCAGTGGGTGGGCTCACAAATCAGATTAGCTACTAGAGACTGAATTACTCTACATGGAGGGCAGGGCTGAGCATGACCACCTCAGTATACTCCCGTAAGGTGACAGATCATGCTGGCCAGGCATGGTCACTTGTACTGGAATGTAGCCCCCCCGTGACATGTCAGGAGACACATGGCTGAAATGAGACAGGAAGGACATGGCAGGAGTTGAGTTTGTGACTACATGTCTTGGAAATGAGTGACGTTTTTCAGAAGTTCATATTTCTACATGTCAGATGTTTTTACACTTAATATGAAAACTAGGTCCCAATAGTATTTCTGTGAAAGGCATAGAAGTGAAAACGTAAGGCTAACCCACTGTGAGATGATTAATGATGGGCCAGCTGCTCTAAGTGCATCAGAGAGTTTGCAATGGTTGCTAAATTACCAGAAGGCCCTGGGGCCACAAAAGTTAGCAAGAGTTTACAAGGAAGTTCTAGATGTTTTATGTTGGCTTGGATGTACGAGTTATAAGGTTCTGAATGGTCGCATGAATCAAGCCAAGTAAATGCCATTTCAAGATAGTTATTGATCATTTAACAGATGTGACTCAAGTCAGTATAAAGGAAAGTGAAGGTTTCACAGGTACCTGGCGGTCTCTTAAAATGCAAACACTAAAGCAAAGTTGAAACGGATTTACCTTATCATTTCTTTCACATAGAAACTTTAACCTTTGAGCTCGCTTATGCATAAATACTCCATCCAAATGTCCTGTTTCCACTGACCGGATCTCAATAGCTTTCTCGCCCCAGCCCATTATCTGATTGGAATGAATGTAGGCTGTCAAAAGGAATTTCCAAAACTGCATTAAAAACATTAGATAGGCAACAACTTACAGTATTTGTTCACATCTTAACCACAAAAAGACAAAGGACATGAGATTAAACAGACAAAGCAAGTCTTACAAGGATTATTCACAAATTTGTTTTTGTTTTTTTTTGTTGTTGTTGTTTTTTTTTTTTTTTTGTTTTTTTTTTTTTTTTTTTTTTTTTTTTTTTTTTTTTTTTTTTTTTTTGGTGGACTCAAATGGTTGTTTCACATTTCTTGACTTTCGGTTCATTTGGGGGATGTAACTGCTGAAGGAGATAAGGAATGGTTAACCTACCCACAGATGTGGGCATTTCTCCCCATTGGAGCACCACATCCTTAGTGATCCGGCCGTAGGTGTTCACATACACCCCCTCATCCTCATAGCACACAAGCATTTCCATTCCATCCGTTTTAGGCAAGATGACAATAGCATGGGGAGTGATATTGCCCTGAATCTAGGAGACAAAGACAGGCCAAGAATTACTCTACTTAAAAACAGGACAACCTCTTGACTTTTACCTTTAAAATTACAAATGAAATTTTATGTTATTTTCACTGTAGATAATGAAATCTACTTTAGTTTAATCATGGCTCTTGTCAAATGCAGCAGGCAAACACAAAGTTACTTGAGCAAGAATACAATGGTTCTTAAGAACATTAACACCAAGTGTATAGAGGACCTAGTGTGCCAGTCTTTGGACCACTGTATACATCATTTCTAGTCCTTAGAAGAGTTCTCCATCACAGAAAGCTTTGTTGCAGATGAGGAACTACATCTCTGGGTTATGTAACTTGACCAAAGCTACACAATTATTCGGTGATAGAAGTAGTTTCTGAGTACATTTTCTAACACTGAAATTCATGGGTGTCCCCTAGAACGACTGCTTCCACATAAAGTGAGAATGCCAGGTGCCCACAAAAGGCAGTGAATACATAACCTAGAAATTTCACCTGGGAGCTCCAACACCAGAACGAGTTCTTTAGAGAAAAAAAAAAAATGGAGAATTACGTTACCATTGTCACACTGCTAAACTAAGCACAGATTGACTGGTTCTGGGGAAAAGGAGGCGCTACTCCTCCTCCTGGTTGACAATGTCACATCATTCCAACATATGCTTGACAGACAGGGCTTTGGGGGATTGAAGAGAATCACAGTGGTGACTCAGCATCTCAGCTGTGATAGAGACATGCAAGGAAAAAGCTAGAAAATGCATCAGTGGGTGACAGCTGCATGTGTCAAAACAGCATGCCTAAGCACTGGGCTTTTAAAGACTTCAAAATGCCAATCAGGTATGGGCCAGCCCCAGACTATCCTGAGAGTTTGTTAGCCTTGAGGTTATATTCGTGAAACATTGCTTACACCACAACAGCTCTCACATGTAGATCCATGCAGCATTTCCACTGAGGGTAGTGTTTTATGCAATGTATTAGCAGAGTAAATCGAGTATCATATTGTTGACAAGAAGAACCTGAACATGCTGGATGCTGAGCCAATTTAGTGATCATGGTAACTACCCTAAAGAATAGGGAGTTGGAGTCCTATCTTACAGTTGGAAAAGCTGTATGGAGAAGTCACCTGGCATGACTACTAATAGCAGGAAAGAGAATCTTTCCTAGAATTTAGTATCTAACCATTCTCTTTCTCTAACATAGAAGAAACCAAACTTCTGTTGAAAACTGAAAACAGGAACTCAGCTATGATCTGACATAGGCATGTGAAGTCCAAAAAGACAAGACGATGTCTTCAAAATAAGTTAATTTTTGTGCTACTTAGCTTGATGGAGGAATAATACTTTAAGAACATTCTCTCTACTCAGTGATACCCAAAATTCACCAACATTTATAGATTAGCATTATTTCAAGTAAAAAGAAGTATAACCAAATCTCTCTACAAGCAGGCTGTCATGCAGGGGGCAGGAGACAGTCAATTCCTGAAACTTACATGGGATGGTATATAGATATCATAGGAGTTTCCAGAATCAACATCAATTACATGGAAACCAGTGTGTGAGCCAAAAATGACCTTTAACCTTTGACCTTCTTCTACCGTGAGATCAACAAGCAGAGGCTTATGCTGTAGATCTGCAAAAGACTTTAAAAATCACCCCATTAGTATCCATATCATTCAAAGAGGTTGTCTTATTCCTAAGAGTTTCCTTTGGCCACTGTTTGAAGGAAGTGGCTTTCTTCAGTTGAAAAGATCATCCTGAGTGTGGTAACACAGACCCAGAAAGACACACACAACACACACTCAATTATGACAGGATTTTAGTCACATAGTACAGGATAGACATACTACAATGCAAACTCCAAAAACACAAGTCTGATGGGCATCTTAGACTTCAGAGGCATCTTAGTTAGGGGAGTGGGGGATATCTTTGACATGGACTATGTTGCCTGATTTTTGATCATTTCCCTGTGGTGGGACTTCCCTACCAGGCCACAGGGGAAGAAGACAAACTCAGTCCACATATGACTAGATGAGCTGGGGTGTGCAGGTAGGAGGCTATTCTGAGGAATATGGGAGAAGGGATGTGGGAGGAAGGGTGGGACTGGGAGAAGAGGGAGGAGTGTATGGGGGAGATGTAAAGTGAATTAATTAACAAAAAAGAATAGTTGGGAAAGGTCACTTTCAGGTTTAGGTCTCTGTTCATGTCTGACTTCAAGAAGAAAGCTGTATTGTTTACTTCTGTTCCTCTCTTTTCTTATTCACAGTAAAGAATTTACAGCTATCAATTTTGATAGCATCAAAATTGTGTGTTAAAAGCTTGCTGTCTGCCTGCTGTTGCTCTTTCCTGTATATTTTTGGCCTTTATGCTCTAGAGAGTGTGCATTGATCTCTGCGGCCCCCTCTTTCCCATGTGGTAACCAGGTTTAGCTGTGGTTGCTGCCTTCCCGCACAGAGCAGCGCTATGTTAAATATGTCGGAGATGAATGGGAATACATTGGTTATGACTTTCTTTCCATGGCTCTCAATTTCTCTAAATTTCATACTGCATTCTGAGAGACAGATTTGGGAAAAGAAAAGGAGATGTAGAAGACACCTTGTCATACTCATGGCTTGGCTTATCTCCAAGGACTTAACTGAGAAGGAAAAGAGGGGAGTTCTGGCAGAGTTTATCGAAGTTCTGTTTGATTGATTCAGGGCCTAAGCTCCATAGCTATGAAGTGTTCATGTCTCTCTACCTTTGTCATGATTTTGTGCTTTTTATCGGAGAAGATTCGAGAAACCACAGCTTCCATTAAACACTTCTCTTAAAGTCATTCTCACAGCACAAAAAGTTAACAGCTTTTGTCCTTGCCCTAGAGGAAGGTTTCACCTCTGGTCCATGCCAGTCTTTCCTGTTCAAGGTCTGGCCTCTGCACTTCCTCTTCCAGGTTGGGTCTGATCTGTTTGAGGGGAGTGTTTTGCTGTTTTTCTCTCATAGGCTTTGCCTAGGACTGAGGGCAGAGGCTTCAGAGTCAGGATAGGAAGGGGATCTTGACTGAAAAGCTTTTCTAGAGAGAGATTTTGGCAGCTAAGTAGCACCATGTTAGCTTTGTGAGTCAGCCTTTCATTGTAATATAATCCAAAAAATTTCTTTCAGTAGAGCAGGCCTGTGGAGGAGACCCTGTTTCTGTGGATGAATCTGTCATCCAGAGCACATCACAAATGCGCCATTTGAACTAAAAGATCAAGATGGGAGTGGAGTGATTCATCTCTAAGAGTACTGACAAAATTCCATGACAGATTTGGCTTTCACATAGCATAGGTAACATGAAATAATACATAAAGATCCAAAAATCAATTACAAAAGCTAAAAGTCACAAAGGTAGGGGCAGTGAGGACCAGTGAGAATTGCAAAGAGAACATGGGAGAGAAATTCACATTGGACATAGGCTATATGATCTGAATACCACGGTGTGATTGAAAGTGATTACTTTTTCTGGCAGTTGGGGTTCATGTTTTATAATCTGGGGTCAATGGGATAAAGCACATCACATCCCATTCTCGCTGAACCTCACGAATACCCAACCTATCTGTGCTGAGTACAGACTAAGTCAAGGCAAACGGATGCAAAGGCTATCAGAAGAGAAATTCAGAGGAGTAGGATCTTTCCTGCAAGTGACTGCCTTCAGGATTCAGTTCAGAGACATTTTTATGCAACAGGGTTAATCAAAGAACCAACCAAGTCTTAGAGACTTGATTCTGAAATGTTAGCGATAATTAGCATATCTGGAGACCCAGTACTGCCACAGAGCTGCCTTTTTCAGGGAGAACCTCAGACAATACTTGGCATCCAGGGACTTTATAACAGAGACTGTTGTGTAATGCTGTGTTTGCTACTTTTCCTGGTATCTGGTATTTCCTGGTATTTCCAAACTAAATTCCTCTTAAAGTCATAGACCTCCAAGGGAGAAGGGCAATCACTGATTTTAATGTGATGAGCTGTATGACATTTTTAATATGTAACTCTTTTGAGATAATATATTTAAGAATTGTTTTTTAAAACACATTTTCTCTATATAATAAAACTGATATTGACTTATGTGGAAAACAGAACTCGGATGAAAACAGAGAAATAAACAAGAAACATCCATGCTTACCTTAAATGCCATGAACTTGTGATAAGGTTTAGGGGCCCACGCATATATCTCTACTGCATTCTTTAAGGCAATCACCAAGAACTTGATCCTTTCATATTTAACTGAAGTATAAAAAAAAAAGTAGGAGTTTAGAAACCACGTCTAAACTTTTATCCATGATTGTTTGTATTAATGAATGTAAGCACCTGTCTTTATGTGTTTACAGTTGAGGGTGGTGTTCTTGGAACAGGTTATGACTATTGTCATTGTTACTATAATCATTGGCATGCAAATTTAACTTCCTTTCCTGTACCTGGTTTATAGAATGCCAGAAGTTTTTAGGTTGATAGTAAAGGATTTTTCTTTTCTTCATCTAAAGATGGGACTATTTCAGTTTAGACATGGATATTCAATTTGATAAGGACCTACACCATTTTCTTGTTAGTTTGCCTGCATTTTATGCTTACTTGAGTGTAGTTATGACAAAATGCTAGAACAATTAACAAACTTGTAGAGGCATAAGCTTATCACGTATTATTATCTGCTTACTCACATTCAAATTATAACGATTGGGGGAAATAATTATTTATATTTCTGATGAAAGTTGAGATGTCAAGGGAATGAAATGAGATAACCTTGATCAGAAGGACCAAATTAGAAATGTTCAGAAGGCTAATGGGAGATGTGTAGGTTAAACAGGAGGCAGACAGCCCTGTATTTTTGAAACACATTATATCCTGCCACTTTATGGCTTTGTAATTACACAGTCCTAGTTTATATAATAAAATCTGATCACCAAAGTATTTGGGTTAAATAATTGTGTGTAAGTATATGTAATAAAATCTGATCACTAAAATATTAGACTAAAATATATGTCAAATAATAATAGCAAAATACTTCTACTTAAACGAACTTCTAACAGTGTTTTCATAGCCATGTTTAGATGCAATTCTAAACGTTTTCCACAGTCACCCTTGAATTGGCCTGCTTCTTTCTGCAAATAATCTTCCATGAAGAAACCCACCACCCTCAAGAGAGTACCACATGCAGGCATGCAGCTGTCTGTTGCCTGGTGGGGATGGTATGGCTGTGTCTGATACTTTGCCACACACTCAGACCAAGGTAAAAGAAAACTGCAGTTTCAGAGTATGACAAAAAAAAGGATCAGATAATCCTGATTCCCAAACAAAAGCACCTGTGGAGCCTTAATGTCACCGGATTGCTGTGGAAAACATAATCCCCCATGTGGTCTGCCTTGTGAATGGTACTGTTCAGCATCCCTTCAGAGCCCTTCTTCCTTTCACAAATCCTGCTCAGCAGGTTTCCATGTGCCTCTCACCGTACTCCCGCTGGGAAGCGGTACAAACAGGCTGCGGTGATGCCTCTTACTGGTCCTTAAATCCCGTGCACATCTCACAAACCCGAAGAAACCTCCTTACTCATCTCAGTTCTCAACCAACAAGTTTTATAGGTAAATATTCTCAGAAGCCACACAGTCACTCCCAGTTCCAACTAGGGACAGTCACTGCTGATTTCACAGCATGGAAACAATCAGTTTTTAAAAACCATTTCCTTTTTCATGCAGCTGTCACACAAAGTGCCTTCATCTACCCTGCTTCCTACCTCACGCCCTGAATGTTCTCATTTCAAGGTTTGTGTTAAAGTAGTCCGAAGAACTCCAAAAAAATTTCTGCTCACATCTAAGACATGTAGGACACCATGATGACATTTTTTCTTTCTTTGCTCTTTCTCATCCACACCCCCACTTCCTTTCTTTGTACAGATTTAAGTCGATGTGAACTCTCTGCTAGGACGTGTCTTTCAACATGGTCCAACAGCTATAATCTATCCGTGTCATTTCATTTTTTTCTTGTGGCACTGCTCTGCTACCCTACGCAATCCTGCCTTGCAGGTTTGTGGCAAAGTGGTCTCCTTAGGTTCCTTTGGCCATTGTTCAGGGCATTTCCTTTATTTCTCTTCCTGAATCACTACCTTTTCATTTTCTACTTTTTGTTGGACATATCCTCCAGTAGCTTTCTCAGAGATGGTGCATGAAACGAAATGTTCTGGAGATATGGCATGTCACTAAGTGTCTTCCTTCTGCTCTTAGCACGGATGCATAATTTGATAGCAGGATGTTTAATTTTATATGCTAATTTGGCTGGACCACATCCTAGTCAAATTCGGTCCAACATTATTCTAGGTGTCTCTATAAGAGTTTTCCTGATGAGAATGATATTTGAATTAGTAGCTGGGCAAAACAGAGTGCAGAGGGCTTCAGCCAATAACTTGAAGATTGGAATAGACTAAGAAGGCCAACGCCTCCTCCTCTCCTCAGGTGAGACATGAGTCTTTCTGCCTCCAAACTCAGGCTGAACCACCCCTTCTTCTTTTGTCTTGAGTTTGCTGGATTTCTAACTGGAACCCACCATCGATTCGATTCACTGGGTCCCCAGGCTTTTGGACTTGAATTAATTCACACAGTTGGCTCTCCTAAATCTCCAGGTCCCCAACCGGAACATTTGGGGGGGGGGTTCAGGACTTTTTAGTTTTCAAAATTATGAGAGCCAATTCCTCATAATGAACCTCTGCCACGGTCTGCATTTCTCTGCCTCAGTTTCTATATACATATGGGGGAGGGCTATTTTACCTCTAATAACATTCTGTGCTATAGAGTGGGTGGAGTGCATTTTCTGTGATAATGTCGCATGTATTGCAATGATCTTGAATATCTGACCTTCCTGCTTCCACTTCCTGTACCATCACATCTAGTTTGTCTAATGCTAGCCCTGAACTCAGGGTTTGTGTACTACCAAATGAGCTACATTCCAAGCCCCAATTTTAAGGCCTTGTTGGATATACTTTCTAAGGATCTAGTATTGTTTTTGAAAAGTCCCAAGATTCTCTGATCTGAAACTATTTTATATATTGTTTGTTAAATTTTTTATAACCTGGGAATTTTAAGGCCTGTCTCATTTCTTCTGTAGTTAAATAGCATCATTGTGAGCTTTCTTTTTGAGTAGCTATACTAGGTTCTCAGGATAATTTGAAGCTGTATGTCAATGCCTCTTGCCTGCAAGATGTTCTTTATTCTCACTCTGGTATGTTCTTCCATCTCTACTTACTATTTTCTCTCTTACTGAAGTTCATATTTTGGATTGATAATTTCCTCATATTTTTTCCCTTTAAAAAAAGGTTTATTGATATTTTGTTGTTGTTGCAGGAGGTGATGGTGCGTGTGTATGTGGGTGTGTGAGCACACAATTGTGTGCCGATGTCATGGAGGCCACGAGGATGTCAGATACCCTGGAACTGGATAGATATGTTTGTGAGCTTCCTAGACTAGGTGCTGGGAACTCAACTCCATCCTCTGGAAGAGCAGTAAGTGCTCTTAAGCCTGCGTTTTCTCTGCTGGTAGGGAGTGGGTGAAGTCCTGCGTGAATGTGCACTGTTCACATGGGTGTGACCATGTCAAAGATCATAGATCTCCAGACTCATGAGAACAGCAAAGCCTTCCCTCCCCCAGGTCAGGCTCAGGGAACTCACAAAGCCTTCCCTTGGCCCATTTGTGGATGTTGGTAGTATGTACAGAAAATGATGACTGCTTCCTCTTCTGGGATAGTTATAGTCTGAGATTGCTCCCCTAAAGAGACCTGTAGGGAAACCTTCCTCCTTGTTCATCTGTACATATTAACTTTGCCTCCTCCTTTAGCTGTATATAATAAACCTGCTCCCTAGATTGAGACTTAGAGGAGCCATGTAAAATGAACACGGACACTAGAGCATCTCCCTCACAGTTCATAACGCATGCGAGCTGAGCTTTTTTGTATGTGTGTCTGTTGTTTCTTCATTCCCTGTCAATCCAGTTGGGGCATCCCCAAAGCTGTGCAGCTCAAGGTAGATCCTCATTTTGTTTTCAGTTCCCCTTCATAGGTAAGTCCTCATTCTCATTTTTCTCATCTTTCTTATTCCTGCTAAGATAGTTTTAGTCTTTCACTGATATAGCCAACTCTACTCCATCTTTAAAGATACTCCTATTCTTTTATTGAAACACTTTTTTTTTTTCAAATACTGGTAAAATGTAGTTTCTTTTCTCTTTTCTGAAATTTCCCCCATGCATCATTTTCTGACATCCTTACCTCCTGTTTGTTCCTCCTTCCTGCTCATGAGATCTACCTATCTAGGCTCTGGTAGAAGCAGGCTAATCAGCCGCTAGCAGTTACTTTGGAGAAGTAAGGTAGGGAGCTTCCCCCCAGGACTTGGAATGTTAGTATCTGTAGTTTCTCCTAAAGATAAACTTTTCAGCCTCCCTCTTGGGAGTATAAACATGCAGCCAGCCTTTTGGGAGCTTTGCAGGGGAAGGCTGGTCTATATGTGTGTGTAGGTGCAGGTATGTGCCCTCCCAAGTCTTTTTGCCATCACACTGGCTGTGCAAACTCTTCCCCTTTTGCTGCAGGGCTGAGGACAGTGGCCTGCCTGTGGGGGAAGGGCCTGGCTCTTGAGGACTTTTAACTTCTCTGCTTTTCAGCGATCCTATTTTCAGTTCTGCTGTGCACCTCTATACTGTGGTGTTCCCTGAGTTTCTGATCTTTCTGGGCTCTGTGGAATAGATGGATAATTTTGATAATGCTCCTCCCTGTAGATTAAGAATCCAGTATCCTTGATCTGCTATAGCTGACCCTAGTCACAGTGTTACTCTTGTCCAGTTTTATGGCCATCTCTTATTTTCCGCCTTCTCTTCTTTTGATTCTTGGAGAATCACTGCATCTTTTTTTTTTTTTATCATTTTATTGTTATTTTGGGGGGACTTTGGAAGAAGTACATATAAAGTAGTACTAGCATTTTCTAGTATTTGCTAAAGAGTGCTAAAGTAAATGCTAAAGAGTCTAGCATTTTCTCTAAATGCATTCTTTGAGTTTCACCATCTGACTTTTGGAAGGATAATTCAAGTATTTTCTGGGGTCCAGGAACATTTTCAACTGGTGAGACATAAACTAAGAGCAGATAAGATGTTCTGAATAAATTTAACCAAACAACTGGGACTGAGCATCAGACTCTGCTGCTGAGCTGAGACTCACCAACTTTGTAATGGATGCAGCCTTCCAAGTCCCCAACGGTGACCCAGCCCTGCTTCTTTTCCACTTCCGGGTCATTGTGCAGTATTCTGTTTCTTAACCATGAAAGATAGTAAACACGGAGCTTATTCTTCTTTCCTGTTGAAACAACAGAGTTTTAATTTCAAGCCCTGTGATAGCCTGCTCTCTCTTCTTTCCCTCACCTCTCCTGGACTCTTGCTGCCATCGGTGTTGTGTCTGTGGGGGCTGAACAACCAGCGTGCTTAGATCTTCCTCACTGTCACTTCTGTCAGCACTTGTAAAGACAGTCCCTAGTATTTCGGCCAAACCCACAAATTCTACTTTTTACCTTTAAGCAATTTCTTATTTGAGCAAGTTGGTTTGCGGAACTTGATAAGTTCTAACTCTAAAACAGAGTTCCAGAACGTTCTAGATTTAATCTTGAAGGAGCACCGGCAAACGGGCATTTTAGCCAACTTATGTGCGCCTCTCCTCCTCTCATTTTCTCTCCCCTCTCTTTACCTCTTCTGTTACATCAACAGTTGTTAGTAGTTTTGTTTAATTGGTAAGACAAAGGGATTTAACAGAAGACAGAAACAAATTCAGTAAAATGATCTGAGTTTAGAGGATGGTATTAGACAAAGTTACACTGCTGCGGTCATCAAAAAGAGAAGTAAATAAAAACATCAAAGATGTGGACTCGGAATTCAAAAAATGGTTGAAAGTTCACTTTGGTAAAGCGAATAAGACCATTCTCAGGACGATAAAATAGCAGCTTGAAGTTATGAGAGACTTTATAGAGAGCAAAATGCATCCACTCCACTTGATTATCTGAGTACCACAGGGAAAACGAGCATTTCTGTGGCTCTTCCTTAATGAGAAATTTGGGCTTATGGATTTTATTTCTCAGATATTTTCCCACTGACTTTAAAGAGGTTTTTATGTTCTACAGATGGGCTATGCACTAGAAGAAGAGAATTCGTGAGAGCATCCCTCACTGGCTTGACAGAGGAGCACACTGAGACTTAACCTGCGGGAGCACAGCACAGCTGCTGTTCATTCGTGCCAGTGGAAGCCTAGTGCTCAGGTGCTTAGGACAATGACAGCAACCATTGCTCCATCTTCCTGTGCCAACAAGGCCTGAGCAGTTCAAGATTCTTCTCACTTTTATTATCTCTTTTCTCCCTTTTTGGTCTATGATAAGAGGAACCTGTTATATCCTGAAGGACGAAGACTTGTCACAAACAGCAAAAGAGAGCCTGACCTTGAGTTCTCTGGTAGCATTTCCATTTTGGATAGATGACAAGACAGATGCATGGCTTCAGTTTTGGTTTGGGAGTGTAGTAATCAAAAAAGCAATTAACCAGAAACAAAGACCACATAGAACTCAATTCAAATCATAGTACAAGAACAATTTACTTGCTAACCTTTTTTTGCAATGATGAAACTCTAAATACTCGGTAGAGAGGTAAAACAGAGGGGATTATGGGGCAAGAGACTGCATTCTTCTCAAACCATAAGCACACCTGGAGAGTTAAAATTTCATCTTCAAAGTTCAACCCAGAAGTCCTTGTGTGCTCTCTTTGCACAATAAAGATGAAGAATAGAGCTCATAAACTAAGTTGCCTGATGGGAATGTACCAGAGCCACCAATATTGAATGCTTTCACCTTATTTCAGAGATTCTGACCCTAGTCTAGGGAGCAGTTTTGGTTTTCACATCTTCTGAGTGGTTCTAACACAAAAGTAGTACTTGATTTCATAGCTGATGAAATAAATAGGAGGAGGGTAATTTATTCAAACACTATCAGGAAGAACAACAACAACAACAAAAAAACCTTCTCATCAATAAACAGACTCCAGTGCATTTTTCATTTGTTAGTAATGAGGCTTACTTGTTGTCTAACAAAGTCTTTCCCCATGGTAAAAACATAACAGTAAGGATGTCGCCCCTCCACCCTCTTTGTAGAACTGTTTTCCCACTAGTTCAATCGTCCTTAAGACATCAGTGGATTATAAGCAATTTGAGAAAAAAGACTAAAGAAACCTTTGCTTGCTAATTCTTCTCCCAGAGGCCTACATTTTTTATAGTCTCCATCTGAGAGTATGATAGTAACGGCAGGATTGACAGCTTAATAAGATCCTTGTTGAGGGGTCTTTCCTGAGACTCATACTCCAACCAAGGACCATGCATGGAGATAACCTAGAACCCCTGCACAGATGTAGCCCATGGCAGTTCAGTGTCCAAGTGGGGTCCGTAGTAATGGGAAGAGGGACTGCTTCTGATATGAACTGATTGGCCTCCTCTTTGATTACCTCCCCCTGAGGGGGGAAGAGTGTGGTAAGGCCACAGAGGAAGACAATGCAGCCACTCCTGATGAGACCTGATAGCCCAGGATCAGAAGGAAGAAGAAGAAACCCTTCCCTATCAGCAGACTTGGGGAGGGGAGTGTGTAGAGAAAGGGGAGGCAGGGAAGGATTGGGAGGGGAGGATGGAGGGAACTAGAGGGGGGATACAAAGTAAATAAAGTATAATTTAAAAAAAAAGTCCTTGCTGAGTCTTAAAGGAGGTGAAGTCCAAAATGCACAGCTTCTTTTGCTACTCAGGTTGAAAGCGCAGGTAAGTCTTCCTCAGAGGCCAGACCCTCCAGCACTACAAATGCATGTGGGTGATCTCCCCCCAGCTACAGTGTTGTGCATCTCCTGCGGTTTGCTGGGCGGAGACCAGGATGTCACCTGCCCACCTGGGCACACCTGGCAGTCAGGCCAGCTTAGCAACATACCTGATATCGTCACAAGAACATTTAGTCCTTCCAGCACATCCATCTGCTGAAATCGCCTCCGGTTGATTAGGTTGTAGACTTTGCCTTGGCCACTTCTGTCCAAAAGCATCAGGCCGTTTTCGGTTCCCACCAGAAGGTTTACACCTGCAAATTTAAGAAGCACTCAAGGACCGACTTTTGAATGGGCCTTACCCAGGTTGACCTGGATCCCTGCAAAAGCCCAGAGAACTGTTTGGTGCTAATGTAAAAATAAAATAAAATAAAATAAAATAAAAAATGCGTAAGTAGGTAAGATGGTAAACAGTGTAGAGGTGGAAGGTACAGCTCACTAGTTACATCACTGTCCCTCTGGTAACAGAACTACAGTTTCATCATGTTAAGTGAAGGCAGCAATGCGTCACACCTATCCACTACACTTGGCCCAGAGAGTATTGCCAAAAGGAACCTTAGGTAGAGATGTGCGAATAAGCAAATTTCCTCATTCCCCCTTTATGGAGGGTCTCCTCTTCCTTGGTGATCCCTGTATATGAAACTTCTTTCTTCCTATTCATTCAATGATTTCTAAGACAGCTAATCTATCCACCTTCAAAATACAAAGGGTTCTACTTACACACACATACACACACACACACACACACACACACACACACATACACACACACACACACGCATACACGCACACACACACTAATGGTTCTGCTCTCGTCCAGGAAATGATAAGCCAGGTCACAAGAGGCTGAGTCATAGAGATACTGATTTCAAAGAGTTCTCAGTTACCTAGTTCTACCCCAGCATACCCGTAAGCAGACCTAAACAATTAGTCATCCAGTTACTAAAATGTGCCTGTGTCAAGAGATTCACTGTGCAGTACATCTTGAACATTTCTTGGTATACTTCTGTATTCTGAAAATGCCAAGCCCTACGACATTAATTGTGGTTATTTTGATCTCCAAACTTCACATTCCTACTACAGAGCCACTGTAGTGAGAATTTTGGTTTCTTAAAAAACCCAGTTATGTTATGTGAATATGTTTTTGTTTTATTCCCAGCTGTGGGATATGGGATGGCTTCAGATTGTCCACAGCTGCTAACTTTGATTTGTCTCATGCTCTAGGAGGGATGTGATTTTTGCTGGCTGCAGATAGTTTATAGGAATTTGGGGGACTCATGAGAAGGTATACATGTGAGGGCCCCAGAGAGGGCCTACGGTAGCGGCTGCTCCCCCTGCTGCTGGTCCCTGCCTTTGCTATTGCTGTATTGCTGTTTAATAGATTGCTGGTTAGTGGTATTCTGATGACAAATAGTGGACTTGATCCAAGGAACTTGATGCTCCTACTCAGCAGGAATTAGTCTAAAGAGTTCTATATCTGCTTTCCCTTCTAACTTTCTTTCTCGCCTACCTAGTGTTGGAGAGCTGAAAGAAAGGGATTGGGGTGGAGAAGTGTGGTAGATATATGAATCCAAGTAAAGTAGCTAAAAGACCTGGCTACAGCTGTGGTGTCTCACATGGAACAATACCCAGGGTTCATTCTTCTTCCTTACTGACATGGCAAATGCCTTTTGCCATATAAAACTATGATGTCCCAATCCAAGCCTAGTGATGGAGACGGGTTCAGATGGACCACAACCCTGATCTTCCTATGATGATGTGAGTAACAGAGGTCAAGACTTGGACAGAGTCTCCCCACACCTATACTGAGTATGAACCTAGCTAACATTTACAGATCGACTTGATGAGAACGTCACACTGATGTTTTCAACTGCAAAGAAAAAGGCTCATCCTTTGCTGTTCCTTTCAAGTTTTGCCCAGTTACTGCTGATGGTGTGGCCTTGGGCAAGTCACTAAAATATGCTGGGCTTGTTTTTGAGATGTGAGATAAGGCAATGCCATTAGACCCCTGGCAGAATACTAATTGAGTCACAGAGAAAACATGTGGGGTGCCATGTTTTCTCTACCATAGTGTAGTTCTGTGGTTGCTATGTACCCATCCCTCTACTTGCCATCTTAAATAGCAGGTCTTTCTACAGATAATTTACTTTCCATCACTCCTCAGGCCACATCAGTTGCCAACAGCTATGATTCTCCTAGTGCGTTCTGATGATAGGACCCAAAGGCTTCTAACACTTGAAGCTAAACTGACTAATGAGTGGAAAAACAAAACAATAAACAAACAAAAAAACGACCCACATACCCCACAGAGCTGCACAAAGTATTTCTGAGTTGAAGCGTTTCTTGTATTTTCTGATTTCTGGTGTGTCACTATGAGGGCGAATGTTTGTTGGGTTCACATTTACCACTGAAATCTTCCTTGCTTCATTGAGTTTGGCCTGTTCTTGCCTAAGAAGTTCGCTAGTAAACAGAGCTTTGGGAAAAAGAATGAGAGACGTTAGTAGCGTCTAAACAGGCATCCAGTGGAAACATGGAGGAAGGGCTTGGCTTGGGGTGTGTTATAACAAAGGCACAGGAACCATGAACCTATACCAATTTCACACCTTTAGTAGGCTTTCAAAGCATGTCATTCACAGAAGCAGTATTTTATCCAATAGCAAAACAGGCTTAGGGACACTCCTTTGGATGGTGTAGAATATTAACACTAATCTCACAGAAACAAACACGCCATTCCTGTAATCACAAGCAAGGAACGGTTCCTTTTTGAGAACCCAGATAAGCTGACTTCAGTGGTTAGTGAGTTGCAGAAGGCAAAGGAGCAAGGCCATCCTCTTAGCCAGACCCTCGAGGGATGCACACGCCTGGAGCTCAACACAGCTCAACACGCATTTATGGAGTGTTCAGCACCACATTACTTGGAGCATAGGATTATACCCAGAAACTGTTTCTGTGAAATATGCGGTACGTTTGGAGATCGTTGCGGGGAGGCTTTTCCTAGCATCCTGGGAGACCTCTGGTTTTCTTCCAGAAACATAATAGAAAAAAATTGGGGAGAGGGGAGAAGGAAAAGAATTTGCTTTATGAATTCCACAAAATAATAAAATTTAAAATGTCTTTATCTTAAGACAGGGCACGAGAAATAAGTGGTGCAGCCACTGACTTGAGTTCTGTCATGGGGCTGTACCGGAAAGGAAACCTGTTTCTAGAACACCGGGGCCAGCTCGCCTACCAGCAGCGGATGACTCGTCATCCTCTTCATCTTCATCAGTGGGGGATGTCTGGTACACTCTGGGGTCCACGAAGGGGGTAAAGGAGGCTTTGGTGCTGCTTCCCATGCCATACTGACCAAAAAGCAAGAAGGAGAATCAGTGCTGCGGCAACAGGGGGCGCCGACATGGTTTCGCTCGCTCTTGACAGGGACTGCAGACTCGTATGCTGTCCCGTTCCCACTCCAACCCCTACACAAAGCACGGACCTCTGTCTGGGCTCTCCCAGTTTTGGGACTCTCCAGACACTGTGTGTGTTGGGGGGGAAGGGAATGGGGGCTTCACTAGTGATCAGACTAAGGGTTTTCAGAAAGAAAATTACATCAAATTGGCAAGTGGCACCTTAGTATCTGTATTACTGTTGTTCGTCATTCTGCGTATAGAACTTATTTCATCATGCTTTGACCAAATTTAAGGAAAGCAAAATCTAAGGCATGTTGTCACAGCAACAATCCATCCCGGAACAGTCAGCTCAAGGAATCCCCCTGTGGAAGGCAACCTGTGGGCCCTTCCAATCCGGCCTGACGATGCATGTGGACCTGAATCTGATCTAACAGCTTTAAACGCTTTAATAAGAGATTATTTATCCAGGGATTGGTGCTTCCTTCCCTTGGTGGCTTAAGAGGACGCTGACATCACATGCTTTATGTGGGGACTTGGATGCAGCCACTGAGTTTGTATGCAATACACCTTGAGGGCTTACTTTAAAGAAGTCCTAGGGGCTTAGAACGCATCATAAAGGCATGAAGTCAGAAGCAGACTACAGAAATAGATTCGGCATTAGCATTTGGTGTCATAATGTAATTGAATTTTGTCAAAAAAGGTGCTAGAACTATTTGCCCATTTGGTCTCTTATCTTCTTTCCTTCTACAGTACTGATCTTGTGTATGTGTCATGTGTACATGTGGGGAGTCAGGGGTCCCTGTCAGGTGTCTTCCTTGACCACTCATCTACCTTATTTCTTGAGACAGTCTTTGATTGAGCTCAGAGCTCATCCATTTGGCCTGGCTGGCTGGCTATGAGACTGTTTCTGCTCTCCCCCTCCTCTGGTGCTGGCCTAAAGCCATATGCCACATCTGGCTTTTTACAAGCATGCCAGGGGGTCAGAACTCAGGTCTTCATGGTTGTGAGGTAGCCACTTTACCAAAGAGCCATCTCCCAAGCTCATCCTTTTTATATCACAAATGCACCAGTGTTCAACATTATAAGAGACCTTTGTGCGATTCCTGCTTTAGGCATGCATTTTTAGTTTTCTTATTAGATTTTTATTTAAAAACAAATCAACATTCCTAAGCCCTAATCATATAAGGACAAACTTGCAAATATCCAATTTGATCTCCTAATTCACAAAGATCCAGTTTAATTCCCTTTAAGACTTTCCCTCTCTCCTTTGGAATCAAATTCCTTTCATCCTCCTCAGGTAGGAACCCCTCCCAAAACCCCTCCCAAAAGCACCACTTTTGCATATTTCGAAGTCCAGAAAGGAGGTGGTAAGACAGTTCCTCTTAGAACTGCGACAGCAGCAGCATTTGAACCAAAGTTCTGTTCTTCGGGGGCCTGCTCTCTCGGCAGACAGAGGTAGCGATAGAGGACGTTAGGTGAAATCATCTGCCCACATTGCATTGAAGCAACAACAGGATGCTGAGCTTTTCAAGATGCTCTTGCCCTCGAGGCCTCTTAAGAGCATGAGCATCTCAGAAATTCAGTGGGTAGTATCAAACCCACCAGTGCTCTATAAAGATATTGAGGGCCTTATGTGTGAATCTCAGGCCTACCACAAAATATGACATAGCCTTGAATTCATCCAGTGATGTCTAAGAACTGCCCGTGCTCCCCCAGACCTTCCTAGGACTGCTTCCACATGGGAAAGAGATCTTATTTTATCTTCCTGGTACAATCTGAAGAACCAATCTCTTATCCATTCAACAGCAGGGACCCTGTCGTTCATAATCATTTCAACTTTGCTTTAGTCAAGTCAAGCTTAGGTTGACTAAATCAACACACATATGAATCACAACTGTTAGCTTTGAAATATCAGTACTCTGTAGTTTGTCCCATGTTTTGTGTCCCAGGAGGGCCAAGTTCTGGTTCAAGCACTGCCATAAGCTAGCTGTATGTTCTGGACAAGTCATTTAACCTAAGTTTCAACACTCTCAAGTCCCATCCATAATACAAGGAATTGGGCCAGATAATAAATGAGAATTTTTTGTTGTTGTATCTGTGGTTTCTCTAAGTAATGGTATAAGCAGCTCTATAGTGGAAAGCAACTGAACACGTTTCAAAGAGTGGGGCAAAGCATGATTCTTCACGACATCAGTGTGTAGAACCCCAGGGAGAGAAACAAATCTCTCATGGCTACTGCCTGGTACCTACTTCAGCCCCCGTGTCCATCTCCTGGGGGTGGGTGGAGACACGCCCCAGTCCCTCGGTGGGAGTCCCAGCTGGCGAGTGGCTCTGCTGCACAAGGTCTGGGAGATTGATGTGACCGGCGAAGCCATTGCTGTCAGTGTGGCCAGATCGTTTCTTCTCTTCAGTTGTCTGAGGGATTCAATACACAGGGGCCATTAGAGAGAGAGAGAGAGAGAGAGAGAGAGAGAGAGAGAGAGAGAGAGAATGAACTGAAAGGTGATGTCACTGCACACATTCTACACAGCAGGTTCCAAACTGATCCACCAGGGAGGATAAGATGGGGCACAGATCGATATTTGCCACAAATGCAATGGACTCCAAATTGATTTACTGGGGAGTTTAGGATGGTAACACTGAAATTCCTACTTTGCCTAAGAAAATAAAGACAGTAAGCCTTGTTAATATTTACGGAAGTGGACTGACTTTCAGGTCTTATGCTACTGCATAAAGGATGTCACAAGATGGAGGCAGTCAGGACCAGACCCGCCAAGTTTCTCTTCTGGTATGTGTGTACCAGATAATTGGATTTACAGACCATATTGTCAGATTATACTGAAACAATTGCTCAAATCCACCTGAAAAGTATGAGGGTGAAATGATACCCACCCTCAAAGACCCTCCCTATCTCAAGAAAATGCTGCTGTTATTTACCCAACGCATAGGGTTCTTTGTCATTTATGAGGCCAAAACAATAACTGATCATACCCGGCAGGAATCCCAAATCACTGAAATGATCTAGCAGATTATTTGAAAATAGGGACTTCCATCTTCTATCGATAGTGTTCACCCTTTCAGCGAATAACTGCTGCTCCTTGTGAGGAGATAAAGTCATTACGACTGAGAAAGTATTTGAAGTATTGTCTACGGCATTTCTTTTAAACACCCTCTCAAGCTAATTTATAACGAGGGGCTGGAAAGACGGCTCAGTGGTTAAAAGCGCACAGTGCTCTTGCAAATGAGCTCAGTTCAGTTCCCAGCACCCACACTGGGCTGTGTACAATTGCCTGTAACTGCAGCTCGAGGGGACCCAACATCATCTGGATTCTGTGCGCACCTGCACTCCCGTGCACATATGTGCCCACATACACATATAGCTAAGAAGACTCTTTAGAAAGGTACTTCATAATACACAAATGGATGCAGTGGGGCGGAGCCATACATACGCACTATGAATATGTGCTAAAATTGTTATTGATAGGAGGGCAAGAGTCAAATGTTTCAAAACCACTCGTGTGGAGATCAGCCCCTTCCCTAAATCCAAGGGAATAAAAAAGATTAAAAGAAAACCTCCAAAGCCAGTGCACGTAGTTGGCTAGTTTTATATTTGCCTTTAGCTCCTATCTAAGCATAACTTAGTACCCACAGATCAACCATTCTCCACGTCCTTCACTCTCGGCTCCGCCCCAGCCTCAGGCACCTCGCATTCTACTCTCAGCCTGTATGAGATCACTGTTTCAGTTTCCGGACATGAGAGAGGTCATGTGTATTATTTCACTTGATATGATGACCCCGAATACCATCCATCCATCATGTCATGAATAACAGGAGTCCACTCGTTTAATGGCTGAGGAGTCCTGTATTGTACCTATGGATCGTTTGCTCTCTCCATGTAGAAGGTGATGGATGCAAAGGTGGTTTTCACCTGATGGCAGGTGTCAATAGTGCTGACATAGGAACACAGACAGCACTTTGCCATATTGATTTCATTTGCTTTGGATAGTGTCCCAGCAGTGGGCCTGATGGATCAAGCGGTAGTTCTATTTTTAGTTATTCAATGCCTTCATATAAAAAATATGCAGAGTCCCTTTCTCTACATCTTTGCCAGCACTTGCTACTTTCAGCCTTTTTCATGATAGTCAGTCTGATTTATTTTTTGACTTTCATTTTGGTTTTGATTTACATCTCATTGACAACTAACGATCTTGAATATTTTTCCGTGTGTCCAGTAGCCATTTACGGAATGAACGTTACTCTGCTGGGCTTACAGACAGGAGGCTTCCGTAATGCCTCTGAGAGGCTTCACCTAGCAGCTGATGGAAATAGATGCAGAGCCACAGCTAGGCATTAGACAGAGCTCAGGGAGTCACATGAAAGGGTTGGGGGGACAATTAAGGGAGCTGGAGGGGTCAAAGATTTCAAAAGAAGACCTGCAGAGTTAACTAACCTGGGCCCTTGGGGGCTCACAGAGACTGGACCACCAGCCAAAGAGCGCGCATGGACTGGGCCTAGGCGCCCTGCACATATGGAGCAGATGTGCAGCTTGGTCTTCATGCTGACCCCACAACAATTGGAGCAGGGAGGCCTCTCTTTGCATCCCGTTCCCCTAACTGGGCTGCCCTGTGTGGCCTCAGTGGGAGAGGATGCGCCTAGTTCTGCAGCAACTTAATGTGCCAGGGCAGACATCATGCTTACAGACAGGACCTCTGAGAAGGAGAGGGGAAAATGGGTGTGTGTGTGTGTGTGTGAGAGAGAGAGAGAGAGAGAGACGTGGGAACTGAGGGGAAAGAAAAGGTGCTGCAATCAGGATGTAAAGTGAATAAATGAATGAACTTAAAAAGAAATCAATGTTGCTCAATTATGAATTACTATTTTTCTGTGGAGGTTTCTGAGTTCCTTCTATATTCTAGATGTAAACACACCGGCAAATAGTTTCCCTGTTCGGTACATTGTCTCCGTTACTACCGATGTCCCTTGTGCCTAGTGCTGCCTTTCTACTGAGCATGTAACTAGTTTCCTTAGGGCAGACCCAAGTGATGATTTCCCCTCTGCTTCCTTTCACACTTCCTTTTCTTCCCCTCCTCATCTCTTAGCTCAGCATTGCTAAATACCGGCTAAGTATGAAACAGTTTTCTTGACACAGAACGGCTGGGGATGTGGCAGATATGTTGCCCATCCTCTGGAGTTGTTATTGGCAAGAATGCTTGTCATTTCTTTAGTCACCTCATTGGTCCAGTATGATGTTTAATATTCATCATCAACCCCCTGGATTTGGAATCACCTAGTAGACTCATCTCTGGGTGGGTTTATGAGGTCTTTCCAGAGAGTTTTGACTGGGGAGTGAACCCCACCCCCAAACAAGTCCTGGGTGACCAGTCTGAGAAAAGGGGGAAAGGAATAGGAGAGTCTGATGAGCACCCACCCTCCATACCCTATTTCCTGACTGTAGACACCATGGAACCAACCACCTCCCCCATCTACCACCACCTTCTCCACCGTGACACACTGTGTTCCCCATGCCCTGAGCTGGGCTTCCCCCAGACTCTGTCTTGAGCGTACAGGAGTGTACGGTTCTCGCCTGCACTTGCCTCTGTCTGGGAATGCAAGTAGCCACTTTGGTGTGTATGAGACAAAAAACAAACAAACAAACAAAACCATAAATAAGAAAACAAAACAAAACACAAAACAGAAAAACCAGAACAACCACCAAAACCCTCCAACATTCCAAGAGGGAGTGATTCACCCATGAGAAAGCTTGAGAAACGAGCGCTAAGCTTAGTGCCATCTGCTTCCTGGACTGCAAACTGCCCCAGTGAGAGTCCTTTCCTCAGTCATTTTGTCACAGCCTTATCGGGAGCCCACATGGGTGCTTATTCTCAGCGTTGGGCATTTCATCTTCAAAGTGACATTTAGGGAGTTCGGCTCTCATCCATCTTAGTGTTCTTGCTTTTTATGTGCACTAAACAGTTTTTCCCTCCTTCCAACTTCCGTTCAGTACTGAAAAGCCTTCTGACATTTTCCTCCGATTTCCCCAAAGCATAAATCACACCTTGTCACTTTAGAATTTTTCAGTGTCTCTTGTATCTGTGGCATTTTCTCCCACTGGTTATTAAGGAAAGACTTGAAGGGCTATCTAGGGATATATCTCAGAGATGGAAGAGCCTGAAGCAATGACCCTTGAATCTGCCCACTTTTGAGTCATCGTCCTTGGTTCAATCAGCCAGCATCTTCTCATCAAATACCTTCTGTGTGCTAGGCTCTCTCCTGGGAACACAAAGGAAACTGAACAACAGTCCTGCTCTCTTGAACCTCATTCAGAGGATCCTAACCTCCCTGATTTTGATAGCTGCACCGTTCCCACTAGAATGAGCACAAACTTTCTCTGTACTGTAACATATGCCAGGTACTGTGTTGAATGCTCTGCCCTGTGTGCCGTTGAGTGAACATAGGAGCACCGTGAGCTGGCCTTCATCCGCCTTACAGGTGGAGACAGCGCAGTGCAGGACTCTTCTCGAGTGAGGCTTTGAGTCTCGGCTGTCTGGTGGTGTCGTGCAGTGGCTCTGGGATGCGCTGTCGCACCATGAGAGCCGTACTATCACAGCTTATTGGAGCAGGAGTGGAAACCCGTGACAAGTGGGAGCAAGTTCCCAGTAAAATGGACCATGTAGATTGGGAGATGTGGACCAATCTTTGTCAGCAGCTCAACTGGGCTATGGTGAAGATCTTATAATGGAACAAGAAGAGATGAGAACACCTGTTTGCAGACAGGGAGGAAAGGGGTCTGTGAAGAGAACAGGGAAGGGAGGAGGCAATCAAAGGTGAGGGCAAGGAGAGTGTACATGGAAGCCACCTAATCCCTTGTTTCTTTTTAGCTTCAGGTTCCATCTCTACTCAGGCATCACACTGACTTTACCTTGAGTTCCTTCCATGGAATATGCATACAGCCTGTGAATTTCAACTCTTCTTTGTGTGTTATCTGCAACTCCCCTTAAACTCTGTAAAAGTGTGTTCTTTCTTTTTTATTTATAATAAAGAGAGGCTTCATGGTACAAACTAGTGCTCTCATTTAGTTGGGTAGGCGGCTAGTGGAGATGGCATGCATAGCTTCAGGAAAGTACTAGGAGCAGAGGGCCACTGAGCTGCAGGAAAGGCTTCAGGAGAGAAAGCTGGGGCAGAAAGGAATGGGAAGGAGTAAGAAAAGCAGAAGAGCATTTCCAGGCGATGGGCCACTGCAGACAAGATGGCTGGTGAGGGCTGACATGGTACACTCTAGCAGAGTAAAAATGGTCATGGAGGTATAAAATCAGACAGGGGAAAGCAGGAGGCTAGCACCCAGGGTGTACACACAGTGGCACTTTGTGTGTGACACAGCATAGGTAGCACGGCTAGCATATAGAGTTTTCTTTTGCACTCACATAAGAATGAGTTGAATGAGTCCCTGATATCAATCAACCCTGTGGAAGTGAACTCACACTTAAGCTAAACCTTATCATAACAGGTTTGTCAATTTTGTTTTCTTTTCCTGTAGTCTGAACTAAGTTTTTAAAATACATGTGTTTTAACAGATTTTTTTTTTAAACCTTAAAGCTCATTTGGTGGTTAATTTTCTGTGCCAACCTAACTGAGCCACCAGGTTGTCCAGATTAAACATTTTTTCTGGGTGTGTCTTACATTGTTTTTGAGCATCAACAAGAAGATGAGCTTTTGAATTGATGGAGTTGGCAGGTAGTTTATCATTCCTAAATTGGGTTAGCCAAAAGCAAGAGGTCCAGAAGATAACAAAGCAATTGTATAAATAAATGTTGTGCGTGATACATGTGGGGTGTGTTTGTGAATGTGGGCCCACATGTCTTAGTAATGCCTACAGAGGTCAAAGAATAACCTTGGTATTGGTCCTCACTTTCCAGCCTATTTAGACAGTCTCTTGCTGGCCAGTGCTGTGTAGTCCACGATATCTGAACACAAGCCTCTGGGGATTCTCCTGTCATTGCTTCTCATTTCACCATAGAGGCACTGGGATTATGTATGCGAACTATCAGTTCTGGTTTCTCATGGATTCTGGGGTTTCAAACTCAGGTTCTCATCCTTGTGTGGCAAATGTATTTTACCCACTGAGCCATTCCCGGAGCCCACAACTTGCCTAGTCCCAGTCCTGCTCACCATGGGAGTTGGGACATCTTATCTCAACCTTATCCCCTTCTGCACTAGGATTCATAGTACCATAGGTGCAGGGACTATTGGATTTCTTGGCCTCCATAATCACACAAGCCATTTCCTCATACTCTCGCACTCTCCCTACCATCTCTTTTCTCCTCCCCTCTCTGCTCTCTTCTCGTCTCCTTCTATCTGGAGTATCTTGATTAACACAGTTTGTTATTTTAAGACCCCATACTTTGGGGCTGAAGAGATGCCTTACAAGATAAGTGGTGGCCTTGCAAGCCTGAAGACCTGAGTTCAATTCCCAAGATTCATGTTAATTCTAGGGTTTGGGAAGCAGAGACAGGTAGACCTCTAGGCTTGCTGGCCAGGCAGCTTAGCTTACTTGGCAAGACCCAGGCCAGTGAGAGACCTTGTCTCAATAAAGAAAAAAAGGTTGAAACTTGGGGAAAGAGACCCAAAGTGGTCCTCTGGCCTCTTCATGTACGCAGACATATGTGCTCATACTTACTTGTACATACAATAAACAAAACAAAACAAACAAACTAAAAACCTACACTGGTAAAAGTGGAATGTGGAAAGTGAGAAGACAAATGGTCCACGGTTTCCTCAGGAGGTCAGCTCCACACAAGATACAGGGGCCTATGATTCTGAGGTGCTGGTGGTCATGGTCATCAAACGTTGGGTGCTTTCCATAATATGGTAATATGGACTGGTTGGGTGCTGGAATGAGTGCGCGGCTCTAAATGTCTCTGTGTAGAAAATGACTCTTGTAAACACTCATGTTAGAAACTGGGCTGTTTCTACTTGGAAGAGTAGAAGAGCAAGTCACTCTAGAACGCCGTCTCTTGTGTGGTAAGCTCTCCGGATAGTAACCCCCTCCCCCTGCATTAAAATAACCCATTCACAGCTCTGGGAGTTTTATTTTCCAGCACCACGCAAGGCCAACCCTGGCAGCCAAGTCCATTCTTCATCGAAGGCATATGTGAAAGCATTCTTCAGAGTCTTCTTGAAAGATTTGACAGGGCCATAAAATAAATCCGAGCAAGATGCTGTGTGAGCTGGTCATCTAGCTACAGCCACACTGCCGGTTTTACCTCAAAGGCCTTGTTCTTTTCAAAACCGCAGTTTCTTCCTCACAAAAATGAGAGGCCCTTTGCCTTTCCGGAGAGCAAAGTCTGTGACTGGAGATTCCTAGCCCTGTCTTATTTGGAGAGAGAGAATGACCATTCCGTCTGTGCTTTAGAGGGAAGAGTGGGTTGTGAGAAGAAGCCAGAGGGGACTGGATTTTATGGTGATAATGAAAATAGTTAAGTTTTATCAAACACATTTACTAAGTAGCCCATTTCACGTTGTCAATCATCTTACAAAACATATGCTGCTATTTATGAAGGGTTTGTTGTGTGTGTAGTGTCTACAATTGATGCAATCCCTTGATTTCTGTCCCTTTTATGAGTTGTGGAAGTCTCCCCACAACCCAGAGCCTGTCAATTCTGGCTAGTCTAAGTAACCAGCTTGCCCCAGGGATTCCCTGTCTCTGCCTCCAGAGTGCTGAGACTTCAAGTGGCTGCCACACCTGCTTGACTTTTTGTGGGTTCTGGGGATCCAAATTCCCATCTTCATATTGTGTGGCAAGCACTTTATCCACTGAAACATCTCTGTAATCTATTTACGAAATTTTACAGAGGATAAAAACATGTAGGGAAAGATGTGGTGACATTTCCCAATGTTGCTTGCCATTATTTTCTCAAACTCGCATGAAATGAGATGAGAAGATGGGTTCCCATTTCTTGGGGGGGGGTATTTCAGGTTGATAAAGATACCATAGGAAGCACAGTGGAAGGACAGGTGACAGGAACATTTGATTCCCACCAAATGAAATCATGTCCCTAAAATTAATGAGCAAAAAAAATCTTCCCAAGGGCTGGAGAGAAGGCATAGCAGTTAAGAGCACTGGCTGGTCTTCCAGAGAACCCGGGTTCCATTCCCAGCATCCACATGGCAGTTTACAACTGCCTACAACCTCAGAACCAGCAGATCTAATACCGTCTTCGGGCCTCTGCAGACATTAGACATGCACCTGTTACACAGACCTACATGCAGGTCGTATGTATAAAGATACATATAGAAATAACTGAACAAACAAAATTAAAAAAAAAACCCTCAAAATCCAAAGTTGAAAATACATGCCAAAGGTATGTTTGTTGGTTGATTTCTGTGTTTCTTTGTTCTCTAGGCCCAATAGTTCACTGTTTTGTTTTTGTTTTCAATAGTTAATTTAACGAGATACAAATATAGCAGTTTCTTAGAACTATTGAGCATTTTATATGGAATCCATAAGGATGAAACCATGGGGGAAGAGGCTCACAAAACTGCCATTGCTGTTAAGAGGCCATTCATTTCTGTTTTCCTGGTGTTGGGAACATCTGTGTTTTCCAATTTTATGTCCCCAGACTCAGATTTTATATTCTGATTTGCATAGTTCGTATTGAAGAATTGGGACTAATGCAATTAAGTCACTCTGCAGAAACTTGGAGGACACAAAAAAGAAGATGCCAGACGATTAAAATCACTCAAGTGCTTAGAAGCACAGGTTTCTATCGTTAGCTAGCACATTTCCAATATATGCTATAAGCACTCTATGTAAAAGTTCGAACAGAAAACCCACTTTAGTTCTGCACTTCCTTCTGACAGCTGTTACACCGACTCACCTCTCTGATCATCAAGGTTCCTTCTCTTGAAATACTGCTGCCGAAGGTGTCCGCATGAGGAGCCTCCAGCCCGTGCGTCCCTACCATTCCCATGTTGTACTGCTCATTGCTTCCTGGAGCACCTGTAGGTCTGCGATGGGAAGAAACAGTGGTCATGGCATGGTATAAATTTAGGGAAATACCATTTCCTGTCACCACTTGATATTGTGGAAAATATACATGACATAACATTTGCCATTTATATTATTTGTGTGATTACTGCAATGACTTTAAGGACATTCTGAATGAACGTTTCTAGATTGGGCTTTCTGTTTCTGCAGCATCTTATTTTTCCACCCTGTTCTCAACTCAGACTGTGAGGGCTTTCTGCTCCTCAAGAAAATAATGGAAAGAGTATTCCAGTAGATGAGGTGCTACTGACTTCCTCCCAGTCCATGGCCTTCTTGACAAATGGGAACCTTGACCTACTTTTGTACCCGCTGTTTCCTCTGCTTGGCTCTTGGCTGGCTCCTTCTTCCTCTACTTTTATTCCAGGAGATAGTTTATCTAAGACACTGTCTCAAGAGCTGTCTATGTCCAATCCCACCAGCCTTCATAATTCTTTAACAATGCTTACTGCCATTTTTAATTCTTTAAGATTGGTCTCTCTCTCTCTCTATCTCTGTGTATGTTTGCATGTGCACAAGCATGTATGCACGCCATATCATGTGGGGGAAGCTGGAGTTGGGTTTTATCCTAAGGAAATCCATCTGCTTCCATTGAGACAAGGTTTTTGACCTGGAACTCACCAATTAGGCTAGGTCAATTAGGTCAGTGCGCCTCAGGAATCCTCCTGTCTCTGTTGTCCCAGAAGTGGGATTAAAAGCATGTGTCACTGTATGGCAGGTTTATATAGATGTTGGATGTTGAACTCATGGGTCCTCATGCTTCCCCCCAGTCCACAACCTTCTTGACAATTGAGAACCTTGATCTACTTTTTTGAACCTGCTTGTTTTCTCTGCTGGCTCCTTCTCTTTTTTTTTTTTTAATTCCAAGAAATAATTTATTCACTTTACATCCCATTTGTAGCCCTCTCCCTCTTCTCCTGTTTCTACCCTCCTTCCCTCTTCCCCCCATGCCTGTTCACTAGTCCTTAAAGAAAGGGGAGCTCTCCTCCCTTACCATCTGACCACAGACTATCAAGTCTCATCAGGACTGCCTGTATCCTCTTCCTCTGTGGCCTGGAAAGGCTGCCTGCCAGGGGGAAGTGACTGAAGACCAGGCAACAGAGTTCCTGTCAGAGATAGTCCCTGGTTACCTTACTAGGGGACCCACAAGGAAACTGAGCTGCCTATAGGCTGTATCTGAGCAGGGGGTTTAGGTCCTCTCCATGCATGGTCCTTGGTTGGTGCATCAATCTCCTCAGGACCCTCTGGGCCTAGATATGTTGGCTCTGTAGGTATTCTTGTACAGCTCCTGTCCCCTTCCATTCCTTCTATCCCCACACTCTTCGGTAAGTCTCCCTGTGCTCTGCCCCAAGTTTGGCTGTGAGTTTCAGCATCTGCTTCCATTCCCTGCTGGGTGGAGTCTTTCAGAGGACATCTATGGTAGACTCCCATCCTGTTCCCTCTCTCCAACTGCTTCTGGTGTCTAGCCTATTTTCACTTCTGAATGAGAATTAAGCATCCTCCCTAGGGGCTTCCTTGTTATTTAGCTTCTTTAAGTCTGTGGATTATAATATTGGTTATCCTGTATTGTATGACTATTATCTGCTTATAAGTGAGTATATACCATGTGTGTCTTTCTAGTTCTGGGTTATCTTACTCAGGATGATCTTTTCCAGATCCATGCATTTGCCTACAAATTTCATGATGTCCTTGTTTTTAATAGCTGGATAGTATTCCATTGTGTAGATGTACCACAGTTTCTTTATCTATTCTCCAGCTGAGGGACATCTGGGTTGTTTCCAGTTTCTGGCTATTACAAATAAACCTGCTATGAAGATAGTTGAGCAAGTGCCCTGTCGTATGTACTTTTTGGGTATATGCCCAGGAGTGGTATAACTGGGTCTTGAGGTAGAGCTGTTCCCAATTTTCTGAGAAAGCACCAGATTGATTTCCAAAGTGGTTGTACAAGTTTGCACTCCCACCAGCAATGGAGGAGGGTTCTCCTTTCTCTACAACCTCACCAGTATGTGTTGTCACTTGAGGTTTTGATCTTAGTCATTCTGATAGGTGTAAGATGGAATCTCAGAGTCGTTTTGATTTGCATTTCTCTGATTACTAAGGATGTTGAACATTTCCTCATGTGTTTCTTGGCCATTTCTTTTCCATGTAAATCTCATAGCAACAATTAAATATTAATTATAATAATTAAATAATTAAATATTAAATATAATAATGTCTTCTGCCAATATCTTCTTTCAAATGCTTATGTGGTCACTTTTGGCAAGTCCAATTTTTCTGGGTCATTATAAAGGTTTAAAATTCACTGAGGAGATCTGATTTATGTGTCAATTATTAGCCAATAGCAGGTATTAACAGGCATTTTATTGTCCACTGTGTATTTTAATCCTTGCTAAATATTTTTAACTGAGGATATGTTTTTGCTCAAGTCCTTTTTTATACTTTGCCTTTTATGGGACATAACTACCTCATCTGTTTTAAACTGTTTGAAGTTATATTTTATATTACCTTGATTAACAATATTTCTTATAGGTGGAACAAAAGCCAATCTGTAGTTATTCCTTAGTTAATTTGCTTTTTATATCATAAGCAACTCCTCTTAGCTAGCCCAAGGCAGTCCTGCTATGAAGGAATGTTCAGTTATTAACATTTTGTACATATGTTTTTAGGTTCTGTGCCTCATGCTAAGTGCCTCTACTAGGAACTATTCTTTCTGTATGTGTTCAAGATAATGCAATGGCTTTTGATTACAGAATTTTTCCAAAACTTTCCACATATTCAAATCACCTCCCTACACTTTTCTTTTCAAAAGGCAAAGTGCAGCCCACGCTTTAACACAGCAGGCCTGAGTCTGCGTGGCTTATTCTTTCTGTTCCCTGACCTGTTTCTGGTCTTCCTTTCCTTTGCTATTCTGTGACTATCTCCTTCGTGGGATCTTCTTAACTGCAACAGGTCTCTAAGACTCTGCTTCATTTTTGTACAGTCTTTTGGCAGGCTCTAATCAATGGTCTTTGCTATGACCACCTATTTCTCATGAAATAATAAATAAATACATCTAAGCTTTTTACTCAATCACTTAATTGTTTTACTTTCAGTTGGACATTTATATACCTGGACAGCAGCTGAGGTCATGGCCTTCCTCATGTAGTAGTTATTGAATAAGTAACTTTAAAACCATTGGTTTATTGTACTAGAAACTCCTCACCATTCTTGATATCACTTTCTCTCACATTCTCTATGTTCAACCTAGGTCCCTCTTATTGTGTTGTAACCATATCTCAAATACTTTTCTGTCCTTTCTTTTCTTTTTTTTTTCTTTTCTTTTCCTTTCTTTTCTTGGTGTCTCAATGAGGTTGGCTTCTCTTTCATTAATGGTAATCTTTCCCTTCAAATTCACTGCGCAGTGGACTGTGTGGCTTTTTTTTTTTAAGTCTCCTAACCTTCAGTAGGCCTTTGTCAATGGCAGCTAAAAGTTAAAGGTCCTTCCTGTGGCTCTAAAGTTATTACTGGGTTCTTGTCTCAAATGGAAGTTTTAAAGGAAATCCTACTCTCTTCTAACCCTGGCAACATTTAACTTACAGTTGCTTTTTGTGCATATTACATGACAAAACCCATGGTGATTTAAGTCTGACCTGTTCCCCAGTACCTTTATTTTTCTAATCTCTGTCTTTGCCTAGATAATACATCTTTTAGCACATAGGATGGTTCAGACGGCTTTCCACCCTGTTTGTACATGGTCCTCTGAGATTTTCTATCACTGCATCAACATAAAGTTCTTTAGTGATCGGATCTTATCTGTGTTTGTGTCCTTGATGTTGTGTGGTACGCATGATTTTCTAGAGGCACCTAGTGAGTGTTCAGTGCATGACTGAAAGTTTTAGGGCCAAAGGCTTTTCTTAGTGTCCTTAGTGTCCCTAGCAGAGATCTGATTCAGGCTTACTGTCAAAGCACGGGGCTTTTGTATAGTGGTGAGTACTTAGCTGTAAAAACAATTGGACAACTAGACACCCAGTTCTAATTTTTGTCGTCTTATACTTAAGAAGGTATCTTTGGTATTGGGTTTGCTGGAATGTAGCAACTTAAGTTTTGATATAATCCAGTTAGTATGGAAAAGCAAAATAATTCTGTTCATGGAACTTTACAGCACAAAGAATAAATCTAAGGTGTATACATTTAAAAAATGAGGTTGGTTGATGCTGGATAGGTGGCTCAGAAATGAAGAGTACCTGTAGATTTTTCAGAGCACTGGCACTCAATTTCCAGCGCCCACATGGGAGCTCACAACCATCTCTAACTCCAGTTTCAGGGGACCCAACACTCTCTTCTGATTTCCACCAAGCATGTACACACTGCATAGACATACATGCAGGTAAAACAGTCATACACATAAAATAAAGCTCCAAATTTCCAAAGAGGAACAATCTGTAACACACATAAATAACCCCTAGCACTTCTTTCCACACGGAAATACAGTCTGAGAAATTGTCCCAGCCAATGAGAGGAGTCTAAGAAGTTGTAATAACTAAATGCAACATGAAAGAACAAAGTCCTTTAAGGTCAAAGCTAAGCAAGCCTGGCCAACCTGAGCGGTCATTGTTGATGCTGCTCAGTAGTTACAACACATGCTGATTCGGCCTCGAGACTGCATGGAGAAAGTGATGGGGCAGAAACAGTGAACCCTGGCATTACCTGATTTTCCTATAAAACTGCAACTACCACTAAAATGTAATGCTTACTAACAATAAAAGAATGGGACTGGGAGAAAAAAAACCCGCTAAGGCTCAAGCAACAAATATAACCTCTTATTTCATTAACTATCCATTGTTCTACAAATAATTTTTCTTAATATAGAGCTTACGCAGGAAACCTTATTGCATTAACTATCCTTTGTTCTAGAAGTAATTTTTCTTAATATAGAGATTGGGTAGGAAAAAATAAACTATCCAAAATCCTATGAAGATGGTAAAAAGACAACAACAAACCTAATTAAATCAAAACAAACAATAAAATCCCACCACTGATTCAAATGAAAAAGTATAGGAAATTTCCTGTAATTAGACTACTGGCTTGGAACAATAATTCCCTCTAATTGGATTTGTCAAAGTGCTCCAGGAGGCACTGATTTAATTCAGCTCCATTCAATTCAATACGTGCTTTTTGGGCACCTGCTTTCCAAAAGGTCCTTGGTTTGGCCGAAGGTAGCGGATAGAAAAGCTGGGCAAGAGAGGATTCCTCAATTAAAGCATATAGTCTCAAGAGCATAGGAGTGCTACAGATCCGTTCCATTTCCAGAAGAAAGAGGGATAAGGTGGGTATTACTGCTCCAAGGAAACGGATGTACTGGGAAAGGCACATCTGTAGAGACACTGAAGAGTTCATCGTTGGCCACAGGAATGCACAGGCATGTAGCGATTGAAGAATAAAGCACGGCCACTCACCCCAGAGCATAAAAGGCACAAGAGGCCACAGGACTTGTGAAGGAGGCACTGCAGTAGCTGGGGATATGGACAATGGGTTAGGACTGTGGTGTTTTATTGAGAACGAGAGGAGGAAAAGAAAAGCCATGGGGCTTTCATTATCTAGATGGCATCATGTGAGACTGTACAAAATGCACTGGGTTTGAAGTACATGGTCACATGGTTACCTTTTTATTAAAAATCATTTTCGGGTTTCGTTTATGTGAATTTGTGAGTGTATGCCGCATGTGTGGCGGTGCCTGTGGAGGCCAGGAGAGCATGTTGGGTACTGGGAGCTGGCGCTACGGGTTCCAGTGAGTCACCTGAAGTAGGTATCAGGCCTATACTCCAACTTCCAGAAAAACAGTAGGAGTCTTAATCCCTGAGCCCTCTCTTCAGCCCACAGACAGGACCTTACTATACTGTCCTGGAGTGTGGGTTGGCACTGGAGGGAGGGTTCTGACACTAGGGCGCCTCTTCAGCTTGCTCCTCATGATGCAAACTGGCCTTGTTCTTCCTATCATATAAGCCGTATGCTTTTCCTGACTATAAGCACAGGCCATGGCTACCATATATTTGGTGACATGAATATAATAAAAGTTCTGTACAACTCTTAGGTCAGTGGTGATCACTTATGCTTGGGGGTATTTTCTTCCACTCCTTTCGCCCACTTACACATCAAGCATTGTGAAGTGCAATCCGCTGGTCAGGGAACTCAAACTTACAACACACTGTTAGAGATTAAAGGGCATGTAATAATCTGAAGCTATAGCAGGGCAATCTCTTATTTGAACACTGGGACCCATGGCTGCCTGTGTGAAAGCCTGAGCCTTCATCTCTGAGACACTGGCTCTGTTTGCACTTCACAGAAGTGAACTGAGTTACAATATACATTTATTTTTCCCTCTAAAATATAGGTAACATAAAGCATGAGCATTTTACCTTAACAAAGGAAAAAAGGTGGTTCAAAACGTGTAGAGATACTATAGCTCCAAAGCATTCAGTTTGTACAGAAGTAGCTATGTTATAATCGAGTTTTAATAGTGTGAAATTCCTAATGCATGCGAGTACTGTGTTAGAGGACAGCAGACTGTCTCTGTTTTAAATGCTCATGGAAATACATCTACAGTTCAGGCCAACTGGAACACAGACAGACAGACACACATGCACACACACGCACACGCACTACCCCTCTGTTTCCCTTCTCTGTTTATATCTCACACATATACTATTTTCAGTTGTCTTTAATGGACAATTATTTCAATCTATCTACAACTTTCAAGACTTTAACAACCACATCAGATCTTGCCTTCACCATAAGCATTCCTTGGTAGCCTCAGCTTATCATTTGTTCCCCAAGTTGCAGCAACAGGTCCTGTGAAGGTCTTTGCCGGTGTCTTTTCCAAAATTGTCCTGCTGAAGTACCCTCCCTCAAACATAGCACTGATCATGTCACACCCTGGTTCAAGACACAGACAGATTCCCAGTGGCTGCATGCTAACTTATCCACTATTGCTTTGGTGTTTCTAATCCAGATTCTCCATCATTGCCACAGCTTCCATGTTTACACCACCCTCAGTCTTTGGCATGTTTCCCTTCAACTCTTCTCCCTGCCTGGGCTTTCTAGTCTTATTGCGTGTTCTTATCTGTCTTCCTTGCTGTTATTCAGGTTACTGACATGCATGCCTATCCTTTCGATCAAGCCATTCACTTGCTCTTTGAGGTCTGGTCTTGCTATTCCCACTCTGTGGTCTAGTCATGGTTATTGGAAAGCCTCTCAATTCCAGACACAACAAAGTATTCAGAGTAGAGAGATGGATAAGTCACTATGCTCATCCTCAGGGACCTCCACCATTCAAACAGGGAGGCAAGCACAGTGACAGTCTTGACTCAACACATTACATGCAAACTTAGGGCTAATGGTGAGGTAATAGTCACAGTGGAGAAGTTGGTGGAGAAGGCAGGAGGGGATGGCTCTTAGGAGCAGGCTGAGCTGTGACTTTCAAAGGGATACGCTAGCAGAAGGCAGAGAGAAGCACAATGCAGTTGAGGGAATGTTAGAAAGATGGACATTCTGCTCTGGAAAATAAGTTTTAATTCTCCTTTAGAATGCAGAGGGGAACATCATTCAAAGAGTTACAGAAAATGGTAGGGGCTTAGAATGCTATTTTTACACTTTTACACAAATTATCTTTCTTTGTCCCAAACGATTAGACTATCTTGAATCCTCCCATGTGTAATTTATCTCTATAAAGAAGAATATGAACTTTGAAGGCAGAATATAAGTAAGCACTTTCCAATCTCATCCCCTTCAGCACAGTCTTTAACACATAGTAGGAAGTTTACAATTCTTTTAATTTCATCACCAACTTTTATCCCAGTGTTTTATCCTCAGTGTTTTAGAGGGAATTTTGTTAGAATATGTTAGAAGAATTGAACAATGATGAGTCAAGACAAAACAGAAAAGCATGTTCTGTAGAGATGTTCTGGCTTAATAGTTTTGCCTCTAGAACAATTTTATTTGCTGTTCAAAGACAATTTAATACAAACTGTTTCAAATCTCATATCCTAGTATATTTATAGCTGGTGATAATTGAATAACCAAAAGTAAAATCACAAGCATGGATTTACAATAATGGTTATTGGATTTGCCTCTCAGAACTGCTTGGGGAGGCCTCCTCCACAGATTGTCTGGTCATCCCCATCTTTCTGTAGTCTGTTGAGCAAGACAATAATTATAGTGTGATGACATATTCTCTCAGCAGACTGAGTATGTCCTGGTGATCAATACTGATAGCTAATCCAAAGAAATGAAGGGGAATGAGAGTGAAGATGGGGAAGGTAGCACTGTATTTCATCAGTGTTATGTCAAACCATGGCAATGACACCTTAGAAAAGGAAAAAAAAAGGGACAGAAAGAACCAACCCAAGATTCCACTCTAATGAACAAGACTCACTGTGCTTCCTATTCATGTTGGAGGCAGAAAGAAAACTAAGACTAAACAAAGACTATGATTTAGGTAGACATACAGAGACAAAAATACATAAAGATAAGATTGTGAAGAGTTTGAGAAGAGTATATAAAGATGCTGGTGACAGAAAAAAAGGATCAGAGTCTGGGGAGATGACTCAGTTGGTAAAATGCTTGCCATGCGAGCATGAAGGCCAGGTGCAGTGGTACACACTTGTAATCCTGGCACTGGGGAGGTGGAGACAGGGGATCCATTCAGTGAGCATCAGGCCAATGAGATTATCTGTCTAAAACCAAAAAACATAGACAACATCTGAAGAATGACATCCAACACTGACTTTTGGCCTCCATGTGGACATGGAGCTGTGTTCAGCATGTACACTGCATGCATGTCAACATGAATATACATGTAAATACATATGTATATATATTTTCAAAAAGATAGAAAAGGGATCAAATAAAAAAAAAGACACTGAAGAGGATGGAGTGAAAAACAATGACTCTTTGAACGTCCTTGAATGGCTATGTGCCTCCTGGTTCTCTCATTGGGGGGTGTTAACACCCGTTGCCACATGCATTCATTCTTGTTTATTGGTGGCCATGGTGGTGGGTGGGGTATACATCTGTTCATTTTAATCGATAAATGTCACCACAGTCCACAATCTTATTCTTTTATTCATAGGTGGAGAGACATGTGCCAGCAGTCTTGCTGTCAATATCGTTTGTATTAGGGGTGAAAAGAACAAAGAAAGAGCCATCTAAAGGACAGCAAGCCCAACAGCAACGAGCAGGCAGAGCACACACAGGCCTAGAAGTGCTATGTGATCTAGGTGACTGCGTCTATGCAGAGAGATAGTTATAGAACTATGTTCCAATGAGAACTCAATTCCCCGAAGCCAGTTCCCTTTGTCAGTGACCTATGTGTCATTTGTATTTAGCTAGCATTTCTCATGCTTTGGTTTGGAAACTCCGTTCCTTCCTGGTCTTCATTTAGGAAACAGTCTAGGTCCAAGCGTGGTGAGATGTAACTGTTATCCGAGCTACACTGGAGGCTGAAGCAGAAGGCTAGCTCAAGCACAGAAATTCACGTGCAACCTATTATAGACGCTATCTGAAAAACAACAGCCAGAAAAGCTCTTACATTAGTCTGGGGATGTCACTGACAGCCACTGTCCCATCATGTGTCTCACTCTCGCCATCTTCCTCTTCTTCCTCGCTACTCTCCGACTCCTCACTGGAGGAAGAGTAATCCGTCACTTTCTTCAGTGGGCGATTTGTTTCTTCAATCCGGAGTTCTCTTAATTCTTTGGCTAATGCCGTCAGATCCTACAAAAGAAAAGTTTGTAAGCACATGAAGTGTAGTTCCAACTGAAGCTGTATCTCCCAGCCAGTCATCGCTCCAGCTTAAGCAACAAGAAAAAAAGAAAAAAAAAAAAAGAAAAAGAAAGAAAGAAGCTCTAGAGAGAACTGTGACATACACAGTTACTGTATGGAACTAAGAAAACGATGTTTGTGGTGTGTAGGAGCTAAGAGACAGGAGATGAAATCAATTCAAACTTTGTTCAAAACCACTGGCTATCCTGGGACTGACTACGCATGTACACATATGTGCATGCCATGCTATGTGCATGCACATACATACAGATGTTGCGTTTTCTTGTTATTTTGAAAGGGTGAAGTTGATCACCCTCAGAGTTGAATGGGAAAATAAATGGGATTAAAATTTGTTCCCCAAGTATCCTGGAATTCTTGCCCAAAGCCATGATGATGGCTTTTCTTCTGTTGTGAGGGCTACTGGATTGAAAGCTAGCATCACTCATAGAACAGAGTTTCCAAGGTTCATTTGGTGTAAAATTATTCCCCAAAGAGCAAAGATACTACATCAAATGACAGCCCACCCCAAATCCTAATGCCACTGAAATTTAGAGCCACAGAGCTGAGTAAATCAAGAGGAATAACAAACAACAAACAAACAAACAACAAACAAACAAGTCTCTTCCAGAACGACAGGTGTTTCATTTTTAACTTATAAATTCCAGTCACCTGGCGGACACCCTTACAAGTAATGCTGAAATGAATGTGTGAACACCCAAAGGAAGAGATAGTTTTCCAGTTCTCCGTGAGTGTGATGAGACCTCTAGCCTTATGGATGTGATGAGGCAGGGCTTAGTCACCAGGCATAGTGCAAGGCAGTGTGCTGAACGTCTGACTACCTTTGATGGACATGCTTTCAGAGCAAGGCGGAGGGAGGCAGTTCTGCAGAAGCATGGCCGCTCTACTTTGCATGGGTTAAACTGCCCATGGCACGAAGCATGCAAATGAGGAAAAAGCAATTTGACATTGGTCTTACCATTTCTCCCTATTTAGGGACCCATGTGGGAATCAGAGCATTCAGCAAGAGACAGGGAGTTAGGGAGAAAAAAACTCGTTGAAAAATACTAAATCCCACATTTTTTTTCCCCAAAAAATTGGCCATATTCTCTCTTTATTTCAGTCCAGAAATGTATTTGTCCAATTTACCTGATGTAGGATTAACCCCAGTGACATAACTGATATTAGCTAATTGACCCCAATTAGAAGAAAAATTATGATAAACATGCACAGTTAATGGTAATTGAAATTTTGAGGCACCCATATGCCATGACATTCCGGTACTGTGGCTGCTTGTCAGGCACCATTATCTTGGTAAATGCCCAGGGAGCAATCACTTTGGTGCTTCCCTGAAATTTAGGAAATTCAAGCAGTCAAGTGAATGTGTCAGAGTCATTCCCTTTTAATTTCATGTCTCAAACAGAAAGCAGGAATGTCTTGAAGCCACCTGAATTAAGGCCCATGAAGGGCAAGCTTCTGGAAATTCCAACTGCACATTCTATTCATAGACACACTTGCTGGGGCGTTCCCATCCATGCACACTCCCTCAAACACACAACCCCAGTCTCCGCCCTCTGTGAAAGTGAATATAGCCTTGGATCCAAAAGACTGAACAGTGTTGAGAGAAAACATACTATGAAAGGGGAAAGCCTCCTCACACACATAGACCTTTATTCGTGTCTCCTTTCTTACGCAATGCACCCAAACCAGGAAAGGCTAAGAACTCAATTTCAGCCTTCTGTGTGTTTCCTCTTGATTGCTACTGATACATTTATCTTTTTTTTTTTTCACACAAAAAGAGTATGGAGAACATGCTAGATGGGCACAATGGGAGCGAACTGTTAACACGTTTGTCAAGACTCTGAAAGCAAGAGGACACGGTGAGCTTCCGAACTAGCAAAAATGACAAATTAGACACAAGTACTGCATACTTTGATTTTTATAAGGGAAGACCATCAAAGAATATAACTAACATTTAAAATGTTACTTATCATTAAAAACTATACTTTATTATAATTTAAAGAGAGAATATGGTTTAAAGGAGTTTGTTTCCACTATCAAAAAGTATGAGTAAAATATAATACTATCACTAGTAATCATTTAAATTAATGATGCATTCCCCCCCACCCCCACCCTAGGACATGTCCTTCTTATCTCTGACATTTCAGAACAAGTTAAGAGAGATTTTTACAAATCAAATCTATGTAGAATTATTTAGTTAAGTCCATAACCTGATCACTTTCAAGAAAGTTTTACTTGTTATAATGACCTACGTTTTCATATATACTGCATTTAGCAATGCTTTAAAATTATGACCTGCTTTATAATTTTGGTTTTTAATAAGAATTTTAACTTCTGTGTTATTAAAAGGCTCTTCCCTGAAAAATTAAAAATAACTGCAAATCTATTTTCAGTTTAATTGGTAAGAGCTTGGAGAGCGGGGCACAAATGAAAATTTCAAGGAAGCAATAATGAGTAATCAAAAGCAATCCCCCTGAAGAAAAATAATCTCCCGTTGCCAGTAGCCTCTGTGGCTAGCTGAACTTTTGTTTCTAATCGGCTCATTATGAAGAAAATAGACATGACGTAATATTGTCACCACTGGATTCATATCGTTTTCAGACACTTCATTCTCTTAGAAGTTCAATTTCCTCTATATAATGAGCCTTTTATGGTAATTTACTGCTTGACTGTCTCAAGCCTGAAGCTAAAAGGCATGAAGAGGGGGAATAAAAGTGTTATTTAGCATGAAAATATTTGAGAAGGCATTAACTAAAAGAGAAATATGGCAAAAATACTGCCCCATTCGTTGTTCCCTCTCCCATAGGACAGTGCAAATGCTAAGGCGTAGGAGGCTCTTATCCAAAGGTGCCGCGGATGCAGCATTTCTTAGCTCCTCCATGCTATACCTCTTCATCCTGGTGAGCTTGTTTCATCTGACATTTCCATATGGTTTGAGTCAAAATATGCACATTTTAGTGTTTTTTTTTTTTTAATAATGTAGTCAATTCAAGTTTTACTTCCACTGGTTGAGCCATTATATTGTTAAAAAATTTTAATCTGGTCTCTTTTATGTGTTGTATTTACCCCCTTTTTAAAGGAAAGCTACAGGAATGCCACTGGAGCAACTCTTAATGTCGATAGACTCATCTGAAGGAAAAGAAGTCCAGCTTATTAATTAATTTATTATTTAAGTTTCAACCTACCTCTGGGTGATTTTAGAAAATTTCAGATTTTTTTTAAAATGGCCAATTAAATAAAAACAAAACAAAACTAACCACACAGCCAACGTTTGCTTCTGCACATAGACTTCATGCCACACATTCAGTTATGAGAAAGTAAAAGGTATCTGTTTTCAAAAGTTGCATTAAATGACTGCAGAGTGTTGCAAAATTTCACAGTTCTTCAGAAAGTAATGCCACATTACCAGCTAGCTACCCTTTGTGATTCATTGCTATGAAAAACTCAACTACCAATGTAGCAATAACAAGAAGTAAGTTTGAAAAATATATTTGAAGACGTTTTTTCATTTCATCCAGGGTCATCCATGTAAGAAAACTGTTGCAGAAGGGAAGTCAGATCAAAACAGGAATGGAAATAGATGGGAAAGCTGAGGTCAAGACCTCCCAACAGTAGCACCTTTAACACTTGGAGCTAGGAGAATTTCTGTCGTGAGGAATTCCTGTGTAAGTTGTAGGATGTTGTATACACAACCCTTTTGTGTATACACAAGCTGCCAGTAGCTTTGCCTCGTATTTTCTCATATAACAACTAAGACTGACTTTAGATTTTGCTGAACAGCTAGGTGAAAGATGGGTAGCCATCATGGCTAAGAACTGCTGGCGTAGACAGGATCATTTCCCTGTGGTTTGAGTGGTCCACACCAGTGATAAAGTTCACTGAGGGCGTTTGCTCTGATACACAGCCCCAGAGATTTTGGCATAAAATTCCCCTCTCTCATCCCTATCCAATTGTGGCACAGCACACCAAAGTAAATGAAGTGATTTTCAAATCCTAGAACATCCAGGGTTACCAGATTAAAACCTTTGAGAGAACTTTCCTCCTGACAGCCTCCTCCATGCCAATTTCTGGACTCTGCAATGCCTTACGTTGTTCATATGAATGCTGCTTAAATTGACAGTTACAGTACCCACTACTAGAAAATAATTTTCTTTCTTGGTCTGCTCTGGGTGACTGATATAAAGTTGTGACAGCCTTTCTATCCCTCTTACTACTGTAGGAAAAAGCAAGGCCATGGCATGCAGTGGTGAGAAGAAGCAGCCCCTCTGCTGTAGATGTGTGGAGAAACATTGCTTTATAAACGGCAACCCCTTAATTCGGAGAGTGACTTTCCGAATTGCTGTAAATGGTGGGGTGGTCACGGCTGTGCTTGAAAACCTCACAGAACCATGTTTCCCTACTTGCAAAATCAGTTCTGTGCCTATGCCCCAAACCTGAACAATCACATCTGTTTTCTATAGCATTCTCCACTTGAAAAAATGCTTCGGTACACATGACCTTAAGGACCCTAAACAATCATGGAGGTAAAGGAGGGCAGGTGTTTTTAAACTGGCTGAGATTATGAGACTTACCCTAGCCAGCATCCACTGGAGGGAGTCAAGCCTGAAATGTAGCTTGCTGACCCCTGAAGCTAGTGCTTTTTCCACATAATTTCACAAGAAATATACTTTGCAGAGCCCCAGCCTCAAAGCTGTAGTGGCGAGCCTCCCATTCCACGTATCTGGGACTCTTTGCAAGGCCTGCCTGTTTAGAGCCATTTCGCTGTGCTGTGTTCATGCAGGTCTGACAAACCAGCAGTGAGGCAGTCGTCTTTCTCAGCAAGCTATCCACAAGGGACACAGCCACCTATTTTTCTAACGGAAAATGCCTCCACAGATAAGGAAAGGGATCACTAAACTCGCCAGGATTCATTCGCTAAGGGTGATATTGTTGCTTACGGTGCTGTTAATGTCCCACAGAATTAATCTAACAATACCCAGTAACTCCTTGTTCCCAAATTACACACTGTAAATTTGGGATGTGCTAGAATTATGCCTCTTTGTGTTGTTAGTAAAAATGCTGAGAGTCATCTCCAGCAAGGCTGGAGAACAGGTTTGTTATTAGAAGGTACTGGAAAGAGAGACCACACCATTAACAAAACACTAATACCTGTTGTCTGCCCAGCTGGGACACTGGGACAGCAATGTTTTTGTTTAGTAGGACTCTGGAGCATCTTATGGGTATGCCCGGGGGTCTCGGGCTGGCTCCTGTTGAAGGAGCTCTCCTCCCTAAAACAAGGCTGTATTTAAGAAGGCTTTTCCCACAGTTCCACTGGCCTCCTTTCTAAATATTAACATTAGGAAATGCGTTTAATATTCACATCTCATGAAAGAATGAGCAAGAAAAGGCAGTAAGTACTAACCTCATCTATAGCTTTCTTATAGCTCTGTGAAAAGAGGAACCAGATCCAGAAGAGTCCACAGGCAGGAAAAAGCCAGAAGGAAAGAAGCAGGTTAGACACACAATTGGCATTGTTAATAGAAAACTGACACAAAGACAGGTTCAAGCCAGAACAATGCACATTTCCTTTGTTATTACTTAACATTTTCCTTACTTTAAGAGGCAAGGAATAGTAAATGAAAGAGGCATTCATTTAGAGGACAGCATTTCAGAACATCCAGATTAATTTTCTACTTTCAGCCAGCATGCTCCTTTCCTTTGCTTTCCTTTTCTTTCCATTCCTTTCCTTATTTTCCCTTTCCTTTTCATTTCATCTATCTGTCTATCCATCCATCATCTATCTATCTATTTGAGACAGTGTTTCATGTATCCTAGGGCAGCCTTAAACTCATTATTCAGCCAAAGATGACTTTGAACTTCTGATATGAGCCATCATGCTTGTTTTACGTGGCGCTGGGGATTGAATCCAGGCTTCATCTGTGCAGAATGAGCACTTAACCAACTGAGCTACATCCCTGTCCCATATCCTTTCTTTCTTTCAAGCTGCTTGGTGTTGGGCCTAAAGGAATTCCACACACCCCCCCCCCAAACTCTGACACCATTACTAAAGTAGCCATTGCCTCATCATCCTGCCAGAAGGAACAAATGGTTATCTATCTATACCAAAGGGCATGCTGGGCTGTAGGCTCCCTCAGGCTCACAACTTCCTGTGGCTATTCTCAACTTCTTACTCAGCCCTCTATCCTAAACTTCTCTAACTCACAGGATTCCCTTCCCCCACCTTCTCACTCCCATATAACCCTGCCATTTCAGCCATGCTCTTGTCTACACCTCTTGCTCCACCCTATCTCCTTTGCTAGCACTCCCTTGGTCTTCCTCTCTCACTATCCTCAGACTTTCTCTGACGGTCTGGCCCAGTCTTGCCAGCCTTTCTCTCCCTACTTTGGATTCTTCCAAACACCTCTGGTTATTTGCTCCTTCATATCTACAACAAAAACCATCTCCTCAAACATACCTTGGAGCTGTTATGTTATCAGTTTATACATCTGATGCTGAAACGCCCTGTTTATATACACTTGGGCCCTTCATGTTCCAGCAATGACGCCGTATTCAGATAACCACCCCCCGTGTCACAACATACTAAATTTGGGACCAGAAAAGACTAGTCCTTAAGGCCTGACAAATAGAAGAAGACTGTCATGATAGTTCATATGAAAACCCGTGTGGAAAGTGGATGAAGCAATGTACAGGAAGAGCCTAGGTGTTCTGAACTGCTACTTTTAACATTTTTTTTTTTTTTGTCAAAGTGCTGAGCAAATATTGTGGGTTTGAGCTATTCTTTCTTTTTTATTTTTTACAGAAATGTTGCTGAGAACAAAAGCACTAAAAGTCAGATGAAGCAGCCTAAGATCCACTCAGTTCCTTGCTAATCATGTATGACACAGTGGTCTTCTTTGTCCTCTGTTTTTTTGTTTTGTTTTGTTTTATTTTATTTTATTATTTTTTTATTTTTTTGCTTTGAGCCATGAATGCAAGGCCAACTACATTATATTGGGATGCTTAGGTAAGTGAAGAGTTCAACGTTCTTAGGAAGCAAAGCACTCACAGCTGGCCTACTGGGCCGCGTGATGTCTCTGGATTCTTCTGGTTTCACCTTGGAAGGCTCATGGGACAGCACAGGCGATCCTTCTGACTTACTGTTGGCTGGAGGAGAGAACAGGAACGAGAAAGAAAGTGTGACCATTAGAAAAGCCTGCCTTGCCTTCTGAATGAGTAACTGGAGAGACACTACCCACTAGGCAAGCCCATGTATATCTACGGGAAAACAACAAATGCTCAGAAAAACAAATCCAGAAACAACTTAGGCCTGAAACCCAGAGGCCGACGGGAGAGATGAGACCAGCAGCGAGCACTGCATGGAGTCCTGCTGTTTACCCAGTGCTTACTGGATCTCAGGCACAGCAGCAAATGCTTTCTTTCTCTGTTGTTTATTGCAAGTAGTCCTTGCTCCAACCCAATGGTGTGGCACTATTTTCTTATTCTCTAGATGAGTACAGACTCGACAGATGACACACCTGACCCGAGGTAACATTAAAGCTGTGACCTTAGTTGGGAATCCTTCTGAATTTTGTAAGTCCTCTTCATCCTTATTTCAAATGAGCTTCCAAATTAAAATTCTAGGCGTATTTTCCTCCCTTATCATCTCTTCATCACAACAGGCTATTCTGATGGAAGTTTATGAAGAATATAAAAAGATTTATTTGATGGAATGAGTTTTAAGAGGGGCTGCAAAGTGATCCGAGGTTTATAAGGAAAAAGGAATGATGCAGGATGAGGGAGGTGTTGATGATAAAGGGCCCAGGAATAGAGGGAGAGCTGTGGAACAAGGCCTGGGCGGGGTTGGAGGGAAGAGTCCCAGCAGCCACAGAGTGAGAGCCGCTGTGTTGTTCATGCCATAGGCAGAGCAGCAGGAGAGCTCAGAGTTTCTTGTTTGGCGTGAATTCCCAGAAGGGGATGATTTGTAGTCAGAAGAAGTAGGGGGATGAAGGAAAGAGTATAAGAATTAAAGTTGAACTTGTTCAGAAAATTAAAATGGAGTGGGTAACCCTGATCTTCATTATAATTTGCTCTAAAGATATAAAGACTCCAACGGACATTTAAAAAATATTGATGGGATGGCAGCTGTCTGGATCAGTGTCACAACGACACACAGCACTCTGGGATAGACCACCGATGTCAGGGAAACACTGAGCCAGCTGTGGGACAATCCACACTCAACTCGAAGGCATGGGTGTCACATGTTAGAGTTGAAACTTTAAAAAATGACATAAACAGAGATTTTACTTAACTGAAACCCAAAAGGCTAATAGAGGAGGTAAACTATGGTTATGTCTACTAAAGGGGCCATGAAGGAAATTAGCGGTTTTCTTCTGGGATAGCAACTTATCAGCACATTAATATTTATCAACTTGTACTTCAGAAAGTCTGGTATTAATTACTTGTAACCAAATTTATCTTCTGAAGAAGGATCTTCACAGAAAGAGTGAATTTCGACTAGGAAGAACAGTATTTTGCTAGGTATTAATTAATTATATCATGTTCTTCCCATGTGTGTTTTTTTTTTTTTTTCATTACTGAAAACTAGGCGATGATGAATGCTTTGAATTTAATATTAGGATATGTTATATATATATACACACACTTTTTTTTTTTTTACTTAACTAGTAGAAACAACCAGAACATTGTCTTTAAGGTAAAGGTATTTCCTTCTCTCTTGAGTATTTATCTTATATAGGTTTTTTAGGAAAATTCATTTTGAGAAATACCTAAGATCAAGAAGCATGCTTGGAATCCCGGAAGGGACTTCTGGCACCATGGGACCTAGACAGTAGGGTGCATGAGACTGAAAATGAGGAGTCAAATGGAAATGGACATTTGGGGAACTGGGAAGTAGCCATATTTTGTAATAACACCTCTGCTTGGTGATCTGTCTGGAAAACACTGCAAGCTGAAATTTTCGATAGGCTGACAGGATTGCTGTTCACACTCTGATGTCACACCCATAGTGAGGGATGGTAGACCATTCCCTTCAGGAGACACAAGCATGAGACGCTAGATGATTTCCAGCCTCGTACAACAGCAGCCGCCCGGCTGCCAGAGTGAGGAAGTACCGCCCCCCCCCCCCCCCCCCCCGCCCGCTCTGTCCATAGCTTTCTGCCCAGGCATGATAGAATGGAGACTTACCCCGAACTCTGGTTCGCTCGCTGGATCCGGCTTGTGACCCAGGCTGAGAGCCTCCTTGGGAGCTGGGTTGGGAGCTGGGAGTGCTGGAGCTGGAGGAACTGCCACTGCTGGTCCTCTGCAAGGGGCTCTCCAGGACGGGCTCTGTTCTGCGGAGATCAGGGTTGCTGCATGGACGGCAAAAAGCAATGGCTACAGGTCAACATCTGAACTATGCAAGGCGCTGCAGTAACAACTCAGCAGCAAGAAAACAAACTCCCAGGCTTTAAAGATGAGCTACACCCTTGAACAGACATAAAAAAAAAGACACATAAAGAGCTGTATATAAAAATGCTCAGCATCACCTTACTTTTATTGAGTTTACTAAGATGGTTTCGCAAAAAGAATGATAGCCATTGCTGCTGAGGATGCTGCAAAGGAAATCCTTATATACTCTGTTGGTAGGATGCAAATTAGCATAGCCAGTATGGAAAATACTATGGGGATCCCTCTAAGAATTATTAACAGACCTATGACGTGACCCAACAATTCTGTTTCTGGGTATACATCTAGAGGAAACCGTATGAAAGAGATGGATGTATTCATTGCTGCACTATTTGAAACGGCAAAACACAGAATCAGAATATATCCACAGATGCACCAGTGGAGAAAGAAAATATGACATATTTTTCATAACTGCAGCAATACATATTTTGTATATATGTATATACAAGAAGACATGCTCTGCATGATCTCACTTACATATGCATGGGCACAACTCGGTGTAGCAGAGAGTACAGCGTGGCTTTTCAGCAGCTGTGGGGTTTGGTGAGGGGATAACGAGATGTGAGCAAAGAAAGTTTCAAATAGACAGGATGAGCGAGCTCTGGAGCTCTGTCGTGCACTGTGGTGCCTTTATTTAGTGTGCGAGGTTAAAGCAGAATCTTTTTCAGAAAAGATCTCATTGTACACATGACTGCTGTACCACAGCCAGCTTTGAAGCAGATCCTAAACGTTTTCATGCCCCAGAAAGGTAACTTTTTGGGTTCACAATTTACACATCTATCAGAATATCACACGGTACACATAAATATACGTAGGTTTTACTTGGTATGCATTAACAAGGCTGTGTGTGGGAGGGTTAATGTGTTATTGGTAGAGACTGCTGAAACCCTGCACTCAAAGGGCTGGGGGAAGACGGAAGCTACGCCTTCCTGGTGCAGCTATAGCCAGCTGCTGGAAGGGCAGGGGAAGAGCTCCACACTCAGTTCTTGGGTCAACACACCGCAAGCAGTAGCTCTGAGTGACTGCTGGTAAAGCTCATGAGCACCAGGATTTCTTTTGATAAAAATGATGCTGTTTAGTGTACAGTAACTATTTTTGTGGGAACTGTTTGTATCTACAGGGTTGAAATAAATTTGGGTCCCAAATGCAAATCCCCCCAAATTAGAAAATACTTAAAATGATAAATATTTCTTTCCTAAGTATCTTACATCATTAACTTGTTACTTTTCGTAGAAAACAACTGTCTTTAATCCTCAAATAATGACTTCTCCCCCAACGCTCTCTTTTATGAAACAGTAGTGATCAGGAAATTACTAATAAATTCCCAAATTATTTGCTGTAAAAGCTATTATAACCAAACATCTTATCGACTAAGAGTGGTGGATGGTTCTAAAGTTTCTTATACAGTTCTGATTTTGTGAAATGATGATGTCACCTTCTTTGTATTTAAAAAAATATTGAGAGAATGTTGGTGGGACATTCTCTGAAATGTTCTCTATGGTGACTGTGGTGACATTATTCAGTTACTTGCTCTATTGAGCTTTCCTTTGATTCCTCAGTCAAAATCTTGTTGACTCACACCTACAGTGAGTCCTGGATTAGGATGAAGACTAGAGGAGGCCAGGCCAGGAGGTATATAGTCAAGCAATACCATTTCCATGGCAAGGAGAAACATGTGGCAGAGACGATAGTTAACAGACTGCAACCCTGAGAGCTATGTGAAAAGAGACTATAAATGCCATTGCTGTTTGGGGGTAATTCACGCGCACTGAGGGGTCACAGGTAGCGTTAGAGAGGAGTGAGACATTCTGGGAACCTGGCATAGTACCAGAAAGACCGGGCACAGCCCGAGCGGAGACAAAAGCTGGTGTTTTTCTTATGCACATGGATGGATGTTAAGAAGGGGCCAGCAGGACAGATCACCAAGTCTGTGGTAGGAAACAGGAGGTGCAGATCGGAAGAGAAGGGTGCATCGGCCAGCACAAGCTCTTAATGCTCTCTGCCTCCCATGATGGGCCCATTGTGAGTGCCTAGCTAGGAGAAAAGAATGAACAGACAGAAGGCTGCAGGCATGTTAGGGGTCCTGGCTATTTGCAGAAATATCTGGGATGCACATGCGTCTTTGATGAAGCTCGGAGCTTCTTCTAGTATGACTCTAATTAGATCCCATGAGCATTTAAATCCTGACTTGGGCCTCATTAGCACAGGTCCTCTTCACTCCAGCTCAGCATCCCAGACACTGATTGTATTAAGCTGCTACTCTTGCTGCCTCACACTAAGAAATACTTCGTGTCTGTGTAACGACACAGAGGAACAGGAGAACTTAATATTTTTTTTCTACCTTACTTTTTTTTTTATTAAAAATATGAGTAATGTGAGCAACTGTCATATGATATTTTTCTTTTCCCTATTACATATGCATGCTCTGCCTTACGGGCTGAAAGGTCTGAAAGAAATGTTCATAGGGGTTCAACTTCAGAATTCCATTAAATAAAAGATTTCCCTTGTTTACATATTAACCAAGACTACTTGGATCTATGCAGGCAAAAACTGAAAATTATCCAAATACATTTCTTTAAATGCTAACTTTAAATTTGCACATTTTCTATCCAGGAAACAGTGATGTTTGCTTTATAAGACCAACATTGAAGGAATATGTGGCAATTATCCTATGTACTTAAATTGTGTAAAAAGTCAAAACAGAAAATAAGAATTACAACAAGATTTTTTTTCGCCCAAATTTTTGGGCCAAGTCTTTAATTAACTGGCTGACTGCCAAAGTTCTCTTTACTTTGTTCTTTGACAACATGGCCAATAAGGAAAATTACTATGAGATTTGGAATGGGACAAGGAATATTTAATCACTGATCATTTGGTTTTTTGTTTGTTTGTTTGTTTGTTTGTTTTCTGACTGGGTATTTCTGGTTTTATGTAAATCTTTTCATTCTAAAAGTATTTAAACATTTTAATCCGGTTTAAGAAAGACACACAAATCAAATTAAATATTAAAGTGTCCAGAAGTTTTAAAATAGCACTATTTTTATGTGATCAAATAAATCTTTCTTTAAGATCTGCTGATCACTCTCATATAATGAGGCCATTGACATCCAGGAGCATGTGGGTCCTGGATGTGAAACTCGAGCTCAGCCAATGCCCAGTTTCACAGGCAGGAGTTAAAAGGGCAGGAGACTGTGCCATCACCCACTCTTACCCCTGGAAGGAAGCTGTCAAATACTGTTTCTAGGTGTGTGGGAAGCATTTGGGATAGAGATAAATCCCATAGGACCACATCCTTTAAAAGACAGTGAGTGTAGCACGGCAGAGGTCAATGCCTTCAAGAGTAGGAAGGACTGTTAACAGAACCATAGAACAGGGTGAGAAAGCTAGGGGCAAAAATGGTGTCCTGTCAGGCAGGCTACCAGAGTTCAAATCCCACTCCTACCACTTCTTTGACCCATTGGGCAATTTGCTAAAGCTCTGTTTATTTCAGCACCATATCTATTAAAGGAGAGTGATGAAAAGTCATAACCTTGGAGTCACTATATGGTTTTAACAGTTAATATTTGTAATGCTAGTTGGTAAGATGGCTCAGAGGGTAAAGACACTTGCTGCTGTCCTACCATGGCGACCTGAGTTCAATTCCTGGGACCCACAGACAACCAACTTCACCAAGCTGTCTTCTGACCTACACACACCTACACACACCCACAATTTAAAAATATTTGTAATACAATGAAAATCCTATGTAAGTGCTCCAGCGCTGTTTATTAAATGCTGAAATAAATACAAGTTGCCTCAGAAAGAGAAGACAAGGTACTGAAAGGCCTGCCTGCAAATACTTGTTGTTCTCAGGCAGCAAAAGACTGAGATAATGAAGAGGTAGTCCTATGAGAAGCAAGTGTTCCCAGAATAGCAAGTTTCTGTCTTTCTTGTATTAGCCACACATACTCAAGTGCACACCCTGACTCTGGATTCTTCTATTCAGGGATACTACATAGTTACTATTTATTCAAGCACGTGCTTTTCAAATTGTTCTTGATCATCACTATATAACACTTGCCCCCAGGATCTGGGATTCACCATTATAAAATTGAGGAAACACGATACAAACTTCTTACCCTTTAGGCTCTGTCTAATCTTCCTCTTTTGTTCAGTTAGCAAATAGTTTGTTTCTTACCCACATCAGAATATGGTGGCTCTTCTCTATGGGATGACTCAGAGACACAGGATCCTATTTTGTTAAAACATTATCATCTTGAACTTTGGGTGCCTAAACTGTCCATAAGGAAGAGAGAAGTCCTGCTTTTAAAAATAATGCTGTGCATATGTATGTGAGAGTTTGTGTGCAGGCAGGTGTATGTGCGTTTATGGATGCCAGGGTATAACCTTAGGTGCCATTCCTTAGGAGCTGCCCAACTCTTTTAAGACAGGCTCTTCATTGGCCTGTAGCTCATCATAATTGGCTCTACTGGATGATCAGGGAGCCCCAGGGATCCTCCAGTTTCTGTCCACTGCTGAGATTCTAAGCACATTACCACACCTGATATTTTTGCATGGGTTCTAGGTATCAAACTGATGATTTCTTTAAGTAAGTTCTTATACATACTGACTCCAAAGCAAGATAAGAAAGAGGCAAGACTTCCTTTGTGCCCAGTGGTATATGCAGCCCGAAGAACATGAGGTACACTTAGACGTATGGGCCCTGGAGTCCCTCTCTGAACACTTAGTCCCAAGGCCACATATAGTCTTGCACATAGCATGGCATTGACATATATTAGTTAAATTTAGCAAACAAAATAACAAATAACACTAAATTTCTTGAATCTTTTCTCGACGAGGCTGTGTAATTTTCACTGAAATCTTCTCTAACTTTTCCAGTTTCCCTTGGGAATCACTTCAGAGAAAAGTCGGTAAAGAAATAAAGGAAATATTGACCAAATATAGGAAATACAGCTTACAAGTATTGTAAAACAGTACAAATCTCTTAAAAGCACACCCCGCCTAAAGGCTTCATTGATGCGTGACCATTTATTGAATGGTAGTAAAACAACTGTGAGGATTAAGATAGGAGGTATGTATCCCCGTTTTGATGCCTCCATCAAGTTCTTTTCCATGCCCAGGTCTTGGCCATGGGACCCACTATGATGCCAGGAAGAAGGCCTAAGCAAAGGATTTGAAAACCCTGTGTATTTGGTGTTTTTCCTTTTGAAATTCTTTTCTGAGATGGACGAAACTGAAGAAGCCAAGAGGCAAGAACTTGGAGAGTGAGGAATATACGACTGAGCAGGCAGCTCAGGGAAGTGGTCTGAATGAGCTCAGATCAGCAGAAGAACTTTTTAGTTCATTTGTAGAACTGTGAGAAGTATGAACAGTGACTTCAGCCCAACCAAGTCTTAGGGCTGTTTATTGCACAGCAGAGGTGCAGAAAAGCTCGGCATCTCAACAGATGGCTTAGTCAATAAAGTGCTTAAGATGCAAAAACGAAGACCCAAATTTTGAGTCTCAGTATCTACTTGAAAAGTGCAGTAGCACCACTTATAACCCAGTGCTCGGGAGGGCAAGGACAGGAGGACCTCTGGGGACCTGCTGGCTAGCCACCCTAGTAGCATCAATGAACTCTTAGGTTCAATGAGAGAGCCTGCCTCAAAAAGGTAGAGAGAAATAGAGAAAGCTACTGGCAAGCCTGTGGCAGTCAGAGGATAACTTTATGGGCTTCTCGCCTTTTAATTGTATATGGGTTCTAGAGATAAAACTCAGGTTGCCAGGCTTTTATACTAATTGCCTTTAAGTGCTTTTATGAGTCACCTTATCAGCCCAGTGATTTACATTTTAAGTGCTGGTCATGTGGAGGTGAATGTAGGCAGAAGCATGGGTGTTCTGCTGATTGACTCATAGGAAGAGATAATGTCACCCCAAATATTTCTGATGTGCATTGTAGTGGAATAACTGCAACCTCTTAGTTCACCGCCCCTCTACTGTAAGTAGAAAGACTCTGGTCATCTATCACGCTATCTACATTCTCCATGCAAAATAGAGCATTTTAGTGTTTCAAGGGAAACTCTCACCTTTTATAAGGTGCTGACCATCAGATACCGATTATCTTAGGCCCTAATGTTATTAAAACAGCATTTCAGAGAAATTAAACAGCTGCTTCTTTACTATAACAGCAAGTCTTTCTTTTTGGTTGACAGAAGAGAAACAAATACTTCAGGCTGAAATGATGCTTGATCTAAGCAGCCTGATTCCAAGCAACTAATCAATTGAAAACAGCCTCTAAGTGGCTCAAAAGATCAGGAGGTGCTGCTAACTGGGCACTGGAAGAGACGAGTTGATGAGGCTCAGCTGCACCCAGAGTTAGCACGCCTCTGTCCCCTGGCCACAGCACTGTCTAGTGAACCCAAGGCTGCTAAGTCACACCAGCTGGACACGAATTTGACAAGAGGAGGTTCCCAGATACCTACAGTTTATAACTCCACTTAGAACAAGACTGGAATATTTGCTCTAAGTAGAGTGCCTCCTTCTCCTTCAAATGATCCCTTCCTAAAGCCATTCAACAGAGGAGCAAAGTGAATGTGTTAAGATAAAAAGCATTCTGTGTACAAGCAAAGCCACAAGTCCCCCTCTCTTTTTCTACTCTCCCCCCTTTCTCTTCATGGTCTTTCTCTGGTCGTGAACACAATGAGGAAGAAAACAGCTTGCCCTAGTGCATCCTTTTTATAGCCTCGGCAGAGGCCGCTTGCTATTTCAGTGGATCCTAAAAAAGAATGTCTTCATCATGACAAACCCGAGGGAAACTTGAACGAGAGCAACAAACAGCATCTGTTGCCACATAAAGTCTGCCCGGATACTGTGCAGATACTGTTTACTTCCCAGAATCCTCTGAGACCTCTGCACCAACCAGTGGAAGTTGAATACAACCTCCTGATTATAGGAATATGCATGGTAGATAGAAAATTCTGGAAGAACATAGAGTAAATCATGGAAGCATAACTGTATTTCAAAGACCCTCCATAATGTCACTGGGATGATTTCCTGATCAAAGCTGGTCCTGTCAGGGCAAGCTATAGAATTTCTGCAGTCCCTTACAGTTTTCTAGGCAAGAGCTTTGTAATGCCTCAGTGGGGACACATTTCTTGACCCAGTACCATGATTCAACTCTAATTCTGTACTTCTGACTCCATGAATGAAGTCTCCAAAGCAATGGTTTACAGTTGTAACCACAACTGTATGTCTAAGTTTAGGCCCAGATTTAAAACAGTGTCGTATTGAAGTTATTAAAGGCCATCAAAGCTGACAGTCAAGGAGACGAGTGCACTTGCTTCAGAAGTGAAGAGAAGGTCGGAGACAGTCTTTAGGAAAGCAGGCATCTTGGATAATCATGGTGACCTCCTCCTCTTACCTTGCTCTGATAGGTTGAGATCCAAGTCTAGGGCCCAGAGCACTGCCATTCCCAGGGGAATTCTTTCTGGCTAGTGCTGGGGATATAGAAGTTGTTCTTTGAGGCACCTGGAAGAAAACCAGAATTCAAAAATTTCCCTTAATCCAGTGTAGACAGGCTACTGTTTGAGGAGCCGCCCCCTCTATGAAGACTGGTCAAAAGTTACAGAAGCTGCCTTGTCCGTGAAACAACTGTCTTTCATGCTTCAGTGAAACAGTGACCTCCTGAAACAAGGCTGAAGGGGAGATGTGCCGCCAGAAGTCAATGGGGAGACATTCCATAGCCAGGAAAGGTCATCTTAATCTTAAAAATAAAAGGCAGATTGCACTAATGACTTTGACCTAATTAGCTATAAGAAAATGTCTCTTGTTTGGAAAGAGTGGAAGCTAGGAGAAACCTCTTTGGAGTGCCCTTCCTGGGAAGCTGCAGTAGCTGGGAGCCATGCAGAGGAAGGCACATTTCATTTTAGATCATCACAACGAACAAAGAGATTAGGAACGCTAACGAAAAACTGGGGTACTAGTCCAGGCCTTGGACAACAAATCACATACTGGGGAGCCCAGAGGATCTATGACTTCATTATTTACTTTTAAATATTTGTGTATGTGTGAGTCCATGTATGTTATGCTTGCATGTATGCATAACATGTATGTGCTGGTTGCCCATGGAAGCTGGGAGAAGGCATAAGATCTACCAGTGTTACAGGTAGTTTTGAACCACCCAGTGTGGGTGTAGGGAAATGAATCAGGGTTCTCTCAAGAGCAGAAGTGTTCAACCAGTGGTAATCCCTGCACTTCATATCATTCTTAGAACATGAAAACATATGTGGTTTTCCTACCTAAGCAAGTTGCTATTGCTGATTAAAAACCGAAACCCAAAATAATGTGATTTTGTGGTTAATTAGTAAATGCTATTTACAAAACAGAATTAATATTGAAAATACTGGAAGGGTCTTCAAAATGCCTGTGTAAGAATACAAGAGTGGGAAGTACAGCAGAAGAACATATTACTAGCTCAACTAGGTAAAGCATGGAGTAGAATTCAAATGTGTCTCCTCTCACAGAGCACACAGACACCTGCTTGTGGGATCAGGTATTGTACAAAGGGAGTCCATTGTTTATAAAAATCACATGAACATTAGTGCAGAAAGTTATTTTCAATGTAAGTGTTATGCTTCATCTGTTCTGAAAAAAAAACATTTTATTGTAATTCCTTTTAAAATAAAGTGGAATCAAGGAAGCAAAACAAAATGACCAAGTTGGTATAACACCTATTCAAATTCAGTACTGCTGCTGATAGTTCTCACTTTTCTTTCTGTAAACAAAAACATTCGTAGAGAAAGGCTTACTAACTGACTGAAACTAGAATATTTAAGCTGACCTAACATTTCTTCCTAGCTTTATATAGGTATCTACCTGAAATTTTTAGAAAGTCAATGAGACACCATCTCTTTCATGTCTCCTGCTCTTGTGTATAGCTTATTTTTCACATTCAAATTTTCTTCTAAGTAACAGTTTTGGATGGGGTTTCTGACTCCCCCCTGATGATCACAAGGGACAGCACTGTGACTCTTTCATCCTCAAAACAATGGCAATCCTCCCGTCATCCACTGGAGAAGGAGATGATAATTGTTTGTCAATCATTAAAACCATTTTATTTCTCCTGGAGTTAATAAACAACAACAGTGTTTTATAGAAATCACAGGACATTCCAATTGTCACAGCTTCATATGCTGGGCTTGGGAGAAAAGATGCATGGACCAGGAAGCATCTGGTGCAAAAATGTCTTCAGCATGTTAAAGACATTCAGTTTGCCTGTAGACATATTCACAGACGTATTCTAGAACATTGCTTGCGACAAATAACAGCTAATGTAAAATGAAATAAGAGAATTTAAGGTTGTCTGTAGAGTGGGAGAGCTAGTCATTTCACTGTGAAGTCCAATCCTTTTCATTATTTAAGGCAGGAAATATAGAACCCCTTAGCCTAGAAGGAGCACTCCTTAAATGGAGCCAAGTGAAATGCTTAAAGACAAAGCCAGCCTGTTTGTATGTATTATGTGTATATATGAATATGACAGCCTGTGTCTCTGTGTGTGTGTGCCTGTGGATGCCAGGGGTCAATGTTGGGTATTTTTCTCAATATCTCTGTCTCTTTCTGCCCCTGTCTCTATATCTGTCTGTCTCCCTCCCTCTCTATCTCTCTCTGTAAGAGTCTCTCACTGAAACTGGCCCTCACCAATTTGGCTAGACTCTTTGGCCAGGGATCTTCTTGTTTCCATCTCCTCAGCACTAGGATTCTAGGCATATGTCACCATGCCTGGCTTTTACTTGAGTGCTGGGGACTCAAACTCAGATCCTTGTGCTTGAATGACAAACACTTTAGTGACTGAGTCAACTTCTCAGTCCCCAGACCATTTTCTGAGCCTTTGAAATCCGGTCGAGTTTTACGTCATTAAATATAAGAGTAAGCAGATTTTCTTTCATTTATTTGGTTTGTCTGACTATAAATGCAATAATCATTGAAAATATCCACTGGCCTATTTTCTAACATGAACAGCCTAGCGTGTTTGGGGTTGAGAGGTCTAACTCTGTTTTAAGACATATACTTCTCTGTCACTCATAATGAATCTCTGCCACTTCGGGAAAACAGAGATGAGAAGTCATAGGTGACTCCCCAAGACTGGCCTAGCAAAGGGACAATGACAAGTGAGAGAGGGAAAGTGCTTTCACACAGTCACGTTGTCCAAACTGAGAGGGAAGAAATGGTGGTGATGGCGGCCGCAGTGACACCAACACACAGCAGGCCTGGCGTTACCTTTGGTGGAATGTCTTCTTCCTGTCGTAACCAAGAGCTTCGGTCAAACTTCTCAATGCGAGTGGGGAGAGGAGGGTTTTCCGAGGTGGGATCCGAGTTCTGGCGTGGCATCTCTACCCGGTGAGAGGTCACATTCAGAGCCTCCTGGAAGCCAGACAGGCCCTTTGTGGGTTGCTCGTGCACCGACTGGGAGGCAGTCAGGGCTGGTCCCTGGGATTTCACAGCGACCAGCTGCGGGATCTAAGCACACAGTACAGAAGCAGCATTAGTAGAAGCCCACAGACGGAAGGAACAAAACGTTCTGCAAGAATTGATCCGCCAGAGCTATCGACAGGGCAGTGTTCTGTTAGCAATAATTATGCTTGGCATAAGCCTCACTGGCTGAGGTACTCCTGCTATCAGAGCTGCCTTGGAGCACGTCTCATGACTGTTCAGAATCTTTAGTTCAGAAAATACGTAGGGCTAACTCAAGGTTCCTGGCAACAGGTTCGGTGTTTTAGCCGGAACAGCTGAGAGGTCTGGGAGCGGAATGGTAGCAGGAACAATAATTAAAGTTATTCAGCACTTCCTGGACAGCAGCACAGGCTATTTTATAAGCTCTCCCCGGCTCCTTCCTGTAAAGTCCTTAGCTTTGACTTTAAATCCCATTGTCTTATGAAAGAAGAAATGCTCTAAATGTCTTCCCTTTTGTGAACTCACTGAGTCCCACCATGGAGTCGACACAGCCAACCTCCTTATTTCAGAAATGAGCAGTCCCAGGTAGAGAGAGATTAAGCCATAGCCTAGAATTCACAGCTGATAGGCCAGAATCTGAGCTGGAACCCAGCATCCCACCTCAGAGTCCATGCATTTGACCTCTGTAGTCTAATCTTTCCATCCATATATGCTTCTTCTCCAGCCGTGTGTGTGTGTGTGTGTGTGTGTGTATGTGTGTGTATGCACACAGGTGCACATGTTCATGTGGAGGTCAGAAGTCAATTTCAGAATGTTTACTTGGTTTATAGTCTGTCTGAGTCTGTCTCCCTCCCTCCTTTCTTTTTTGAGACAGGGTTTGCTTGTGTAGCTAAGGCTGGTCTGGAACACAACTTAGTCACGGCTGAGCTTTAACAACTCACAGAAATCCACCTGCCTCCGTCTTCTGAGTGCTGGGATTAAAGGCTTGGGCCACCTACAACACTTGGTTTGTTTAAAACAGGATTTCTCACTGGCTTTGAATTTGCCAATTTGACTAAGCTGGCTGTCCAACAGGTCCCAAGGTTTCTCCTTCTCTGCCTCCCCACGCTGGGATTACAAGCATGCACTGCCATGTATGAATTTTATATGTGTGTCTAGGAACTGAAGCGGGTCCTAATATAGAAAGCATTCTACTGAAAGGGCCATCTCTTCAGGCCTTGTATTGTCCTGATCTCTACAGGGCTGGCCATCACCACTGAGAACACACACATTCCCTGATACCAGGTTGTTTCTTGAGGAGTCAGTTCAACACTTGGGCATGTGGTGCTGTTGTTCATGTAGGGGGTTTTCATTTGGCCTCTTAGGTAAAAGCACCCAAATCCAGGGTGCACCAAAATCCCTACACCTCCACACTGCTCACAAGCCACTGTGTTTTGTGAACATTGCAGCGAGTCCCCGAACTCTGGGCGGACACTGCATTCATTGGAGCCCAAGTCTATCTGCGGGCCTGGCCTGTAATCCAGAAATCATGCCTGGGAAAGAGGAATCTAGAGGGGTCTAGAGTGCTTCCTAAGCTAAACTGCTTATTCAAGCAATATCCATTTCCTACCGGCTTCATCCAAGGTCCTGCCAAACCCCCTTTGGTCTATAATGCCTTTTGGGAATTTACAGCGACAAACCAGAAAAATCATGGGAGCGCTTTGTTCTGCTGAGTGTTTTGATTCAACTGGAACAGACATTGTAAAGTTCATGCTTAGGCAAATAGCAAAAAATATATTAAGTAACATTAAAAGAGAAGACACTGCAGTATCTAGTGCAAAACCCAAACTCGCTGTAGAAGACCACGGGAAAGCACCCCTAGAAACTGAAGCACCAGAGAATGTTTTGACAGAAGGTCTAGTTTCATTCCCTCATCGTTTCAGAAGGGGTTTCGTTTCACAAAGGCTCATTACAAGGTCAAAGTAGAAAGTTTTTAAAAGAAGAGAAACCTTGTAAAATATCCCTTTTTTAAAGAGTCTGCAAGTAAGAATTATATCCATATTTTAAAAAACCAGAGAAAAATATGTTAAGTTGGTTGATGCTGAAAAAAATCTTGAATTTTGCTCATTACTACCAACTTAAAACACAAGAAAGCCTTGATTTTTATCATCATTCCTTTAAGCTCCAGTTCAAACAGCAGTACACATTTCAAAGGTGACCTCAAAATGCACTGAAGAAGCCTTGCCACAGCTGGGTGCCGGGAAGAAATTTAAGATGTTTGGGTGAGAAAGGCTGTATTACTCCCCCCCCCCCCATGGAATTTCCATATTCTGTATCACTTTGAATTTCATCTTTGAAGAACTTAGCAGAAAGCTTCTTTCCTAATACTGAAATAATCTTTCCCTACCAAATATCTTCACACAGAGATTGAGTGCTTCTCAATCTCTAAAAGGGCACCAAAATCAACCTGGAAGGCTTTAAAAACAGACTTCCAGGTCCAACCCTGAGTCTCTGCTCAGCAAGTCTGAAGCAGACCTGGGAGTAGGCATCTTTACCAAGCTCGCTGGTTGCGCCTGGCTCCTGGCCTGGTGAGCGTGTCTGGAACCATTGGCTCTAGAGGCACGCTTTTATTCCACCAAGCCCATTTCATTCCTCCAGTTTAGACTTCTACCCGCATTTCAAGGAAGGGAAGAATTCATGTACATAGTCTACCTCAGAGGCCTAAATAGAAATTTTAATATGATGACTAATTCTTAAGTATTTGAACTTAAATTCTGAAGGGCATTGATGGCCCAACTCACCTGTAATCCCTGTCAATTTTGGATTAATTAGGCTTCCAATTCTTTGCTCACTTGCCAATAAAATTGAGCTGTGGTAGGGCAAAAAAAAAAAAAAAAAAAAAAAAAAAAAAAGAATGTCTGTCTCCACCCTGTACCCGGCAGCACTAGCACGGGTCTCCTCCACAGAACCACTTTACCAAGAATGACCTTGAAGTTGACTCAAAGTCAACAGCTCTATATATTCTGGAGCCTCCCAATGCAGATCGGCTTCCATGCCCATGAGCTCTCTAAAAAGGGTCCTTGCTTCCTTGGTCCTATGCCACGCTAGACTCGTCTAAGCTTTTAATAAGCTTTCCCAGGCACAAGTGTCCACTGGAACAAACGGGAGATTATACCTGGGGATCAACAGGTCTGAGCATCGGGGGTGTCCGAGCAGGCTGAACCCCACTAATGCTGAAGGACTCTGATCTTGGGGGCAGGTTGGGGTCAGAGATCCTGTTGGCAACCTTGTGAGGCATGGCAGGTGAACTCTGTCGGTTGAGTCTTGATCGTTCTTCTACCTGGAAGTCAAAGGAAAAGATTGCCTCAATGGCTAGAGAATAGCGCTTTTTTTTTTTTTCCAGTGAGAATTTTCTGAAGTAACCCACACAGCCATTTTCATGTCCCTCTATGAATTCAAAGAGCCCAAACTTGCCATTTCTTTTTTGCAACAAGATCTATTGTTTTTCTCCTCTCCCTCTTTTTTTTTTTCTTTCTTCTATTTACTCTTTTACATTCTCCTCACGAAAGTACTTCTAGTAAGCATGCAGGACACTTGGGGTCTTGTCCTTATGTTACCCATTAACTTGTGTTACGTCAGTTGCCTGGGCATTCCTGGCCTGCTAAGAGCTTGTCTTGTAGTCCTTGAGCTAAGAGCCTGCTGATTAGTCACAAAGCCATGGGATCAGGCAGGGAGATGGGGTGCGCTCCAGGTGATCAAAGGGGGCTATGGAGGCATTGAGACAGCTTAGGGGAAAATAGAAACTTGCTTTGGGTTGACTCATGAGGCAGGGGGGCAGGAGCCACACAAGGCCTGGTGAGGGAAAGGTTGCATCCAGGAGCTCTGCTCCTCTCTGCATGCTGCTGATAGGCACGTGGGCGTCCTGGATACTGCTTAATGGCATGGCTGTCTTACACAGACTTCCTGTATCATTTTCTTTTTCTCCTTAGGGCCCTGTCCTTTCAACTAGACGTCTCTCTCTGATACCCAAAATACACTGCTCCGCCCCACGCTTTCCATTCTTGGCATGGACTCTGCTGGCCACTCCCTCCAACTCTGCTCCTGCCTTTTCCCTACACTCTGGCCCTTCCTCTTCTCCTTACCCCCACCTTCTCTCCCTTCAGCCCATTGCCATGTCTGATTTTCCATGGTTTCTCTCAGCCTAAGGACTTCCCAGAAGAAGTTCAGAGAACTAGTGGCTTTCTGTAAACAGATAAGAGGTCACTATCAGTCAGTCCATATTTCTAGCAGCAAATAGACTGTTACAAAGAATGATTTTAAAGAGAAAGTTAAATTAACAAAATGGACATCAAAAGACATGATGGAAGGCGTTAACTCCAAAGGGCTAAGACTTTTGTTCGAGGTTTATCTTACACTACCTTATATTTCTTTAGGGTCAGTATAATGGTTGTGCCTCTCAAACCTGCAGGACAATGGCACGTACCATTCTCCTTACTTTGATGACTTATTAGAGTGAGTTCTTATTGAGTCACTTTGGTTTACTCAATTTTCAGATCTGTGCGCATATTTTTATGTACCAGCTAAAGGTTTTAAAATTTTTTTCTTTTTTTTTTTTTTGCTGCCTGATTTGAAACAAAATTCAAAAGTCCTACTAGTTTTCATCTTCCTTACCCTATTTTATATTAACATTATTGTTATTATTATTTTGTTTTTCAAGATAAGGTTTCTCTGTGTAGCTTTGGCTGTTCTGGACTTGCTTTGTAGACCAGGCTGGCCTCGAACTCACAGAGATCTACCTGCCTCTGTCTCCCTGAGCGCTGGGATTACAGGTATGCACCACTGCACCTGGCTTCTTTACCCTAAAAATCTTTCTAGACACAAGCCAAATTTCCTATTCACAGTAAGTCTGTTTTAACTTCAAACATTTAAACATGCTACATTAAGCCACAGATAGAAAGTGGCCTCCCTGCCTCTATGAGGTGTAATTTGAACCTCTCTTCCCTCACAATGGCTTTGTGAGGTATGTCCAATTGGCTTCCACTTGACTTTGGTTCTCAAATTCCATGTCCTCGAAGTTCCCCACACACCAAATTATACTAGCTACAAAGGTCAGGGCTATAAACTAGCCAAAGTTTACTTTGTGAAGACATAAAGCATTGTATCAGCAATATTTATTTGTCCATTGAACTGAGCAGAAGAGCAAAACCAGCGATTGTTACCAGACCTCAAAGCCCCAGGAAGATGCCAACAGGCAAAGGAATCCCACGGCATGCAATCCATTACTTCTAAATGATGGAGTCCTTGAAAGAAAGGAAAGTGACTACTCTTTGACCACTGCAATTCTTTATTTCCTCCCCCACCCCCTAAATCATAGTACGTAAACCACTGGTGTTTGCACTCAGGAACCCTGTAGAGTAGACAGAGTTGAAAGGAGTATGTAGATTTCTACACTCTGGTAACCGAATATCCCAAGCTCAGGGTACTCTGTTGGTATACAAGTGAGCATATATTCATGTATTCAGAACCAAATGCATCCAGAGTGAGGGATGCTTGGAATGATTATTGGTGTTAGTTTTAACTGTCAAATACAGGGCGAAAAGTGAGTGCCTATTTTCACAGGTACATTGCGTGTTTGATTAGCTGTGAATGGAGGATACTAAGCAACATTTTAAAAAATGTTTTCAATCATGTCACACACTAGATTCTACCTTTAGCGTGTCTTAACCTTTAAAATTCTATGCCATGTAAAGTAAATAACCAGTTGTTAATATTCAGTCAGTGACATAAGATGGCTCAATGTGCTGAAATGTCTTAAGTAGGAGTTTGGACAACAAAATGGTAAATCCATGAGAAGGTTGTAACAAGGAGGCAATTGGTTACACATTCAAAAGATTTTTGTATTTGTGTGTGTGTTCGTGTGTGCGTGCATGTGCGCATGCACGAGGACACATGTATATGCTGTAAAACATACTGGAGGTCAGAGGACAACCTCGGCGAGTTAGTTCTCTCTTTCGACCGTGTGCATTCCAGGGAATGAACTCAGGTTGCCAGGCCTGGAAGCAAGCATCTTTAGCTGCTGAGCCATCTTGCTGGCCCTGACAATATTTTTGTCTCAAGAAAAATCTTGCTTTTAAAGTTTTTGAGAAGGTTGGGATATGCACCAACATATCCCCTTAAGTGCTGGAGGAAAGACACCAAACCAAACATTAGAAATGGCACTTCCATTGGATGAAGGGGCAGCTCCTTCTGATACCAGGCAAAAGTCTGTTCCCTGATTGATGACAACTCATGTCTACTAACAGAGCAGAAGGTAATTACGTGAGAAGAAAAGAAAGCGGCTTTTCCTCAGAGCATAAACAAACACAGCTAAGCTGGGCATAGTCCAGATCTGCCTCCGTTGGCTTGGGGAGGAGTCTAGTAGCAGAGGATCTGCTCCAAACTTCTGCTGTCAGGAAGATGGGAAGTACCGGGGGCACTGATGGTCCAGTGAGGAAAGTGGACCTGAACTCAGGTCCCCAGAGCCCCAGGAAAGCCAGATGTGGTGTCTCTGCAGTGCACATCTGGAACCTCAGTGCTTTTATGGCCGTATGAGAGGTGGAGACAGGAGAATTCCTGGGAGCTCACACATCAAGTGGCCTCGTGTACACAGCAGTGATTGACGTGCACTGTGAGAGTACCTGAGGTAGTGCTGGAACAATAAAAGACTATCGCATGCAGCAATCCTGTAAATAGAGTATCTGCTGCACGCTGGTGCGAGTTAAAATACTGTCTGGCATGCTAAAAGGTGATCCAGACCGTCAGATGCAATGTCAGGGCACACAGAAAGCAAAAGGAATTTCTATGATCCAAAAGATGTGAACAAATGCTCAAATTCTGCCGCTGGACAGCACAACAGCATGCCAAGGCTTCCCCAGAGAGAATCTGACTCCCATCCAGATCAAGACACAATGGTGGGATTTGAGAGGACTGGACCTGCCTCACCAGACTCTTCATACAGATACATTCGTGTTCCTTTCTGAAAACCAAATCTATAGCAACATCCAAGCCCAATAGAATACAAAGTCAAAGGAAGAAGGGGACAGCTTGACAAGATTCGCAGGGATCACGCAGCCCCATCATTGGGTGGAGGGAGATGGCAACAGAAGGATGACTGGAGCTTCTTGCTGGCTGCCAGCCTAGCTCCAGCTTCAGAGAGAGAGAGAGAGAGAGAGAGAGAGAGAGAGAGAGAGAGAGAGAGCCTGTATTCAGGGAATAATGCACATTCTCTTCTGGCCTTCACTCATGCATGTATGTATGTGTGCATGTACCTGAATCCTAACACACAAGGATAAAGCATTACATCATATTGGTGATGAAAAAAAAGTCAGTTCAGAATGAAGTGGACAGAGGAGCAATCTAAAAATGAAAAAACAAACAAACAAACAAACAAACAAACAAAAATCAGTTTCTGGACACAGATTGATGGCTATTTAGGATACAGAGTATGTTAACCACTCAGGAAGAGAAGGCTGAGCCTGGACTTGTCCGCACACATGTTTAGAGGTGTATCAAGTCCCGAGGTGGGGAGACTGGGAAGCCTGGTATCTTGAATGATGTCATCCCCTATGTGTGGGCCAGACTTGTGGTGGCCAGAGACCCTCACATCTGCAGTGCTTGATGACACAGCTGTGCGATATGTGTTCCCAGCTATTAGGTTTCTTTTACTGCTAGAAGTCTGGTCAAGAAATGGGGAAATCAGGAGGCCTACAGTACTGCCTTGATATCAGTACAGATTTGCCCCTGGGAGTGCTTCCAACAGCTCAAGGACTGTGGACTAATGATGCACAGGGAGGACAGGCCAGGGAACTTAATGATGGGGGCAGAAAGACACTAGAAAACAGTGAAGCCAAGGCAGACAAGTTCAAGTAAGAGCTGAGCAGAAGCTGCTGGGGAGAAGAGGAAACCACACTGTGCTCTCTTCTTCCTCAGAAAGAAGGAATTTTGGGATGCTTTTCAAGGAGTTTTGCACTCTATAGGTGTCTGTTTCCTAAACTTGCCCTAAGTGCTAGGAACATGGAAAGGCAGAGGCATGCACCACAAAGAGGTGACGTAGATGTGGTACTTTGTAGAGGAGTCCAGGCACTAGGAAGGACAGACTGTTTTATGCCTCTTATTTTGGTGGTCCATGAGGCTATCTATGACATTCCTTAATTCCCGTAATAAACAAATAGGGGCTGATCACTGAAAATGCTGAATGGGTTATACAAATGACTTTAGATCTCATTCCCAAGTTCAGCTAGATTCTGGGAATTGAGATCTCTGGCAGTCCCAATTTAGTCCTTAAAGGGTCCTGAGGCTTCAGCTGTTCTTCCAAACTAAGCTGGCCTATCTTCCTTCCTCGAGTGACGGTCAATCAAGAGTCCCTACTTGCAGTTAATACTTGCTTTGGATGGCGATGGCATTGGCTCTATAGAGGGCAGCACTTTAGCTCTGCGTACAGTGATGGGGCAGGAGCTGTGAGTCTGACTTAGCTGAGGATTTTAACCTAGCATGGCTAAGAAATGGCTAAGCAGAGGAGGAATGTGCCCTGCCAGACAGGAAGCCTACTGCTTAATAGCACAGTGACTCGGCCTACCCAGAAGTGTAGCGATTATTAAGAAGTTATGATTAATCTTGATTGGCAACTTAATAAGACTTAGAATCATTATGGAAACAAATCTCTGAACATATCTGTGAGGGATTATCTAGATTTGAGTAACTGAGGTGGGAAGACCAGCCCTATATGTAGGTGGTGCTAGGCTATGAGCTGGAGTTCCAGACTGAATAAAAATGAGTGTGAGCTGAGCACAGGCATTCATTACTCTCTGATTCCTCAGTGAGGACACAAGGTGACCAGCTTCCCCTTGCTCCCACTGCCACCCTTTCTCTGCCATGATGGACCGCATCTCCTGAAGCTGTAAGCTTAAATAAACCCTTCCTTTCTTAAGCTGCCATTGTTGGGCATTTCATCACCACAATAAGAAAGAGAATGAACTAACTAATAGAGGGGTCAATGGTCTATCAGGGAGCAGAGGCACAAAACTGAATTACTGACTGAAGTAAAAGCAGCAGTAAGTCCAGACAAAGGTCAACACAGATCGTGTTTATACACTGTAACAGAAAGTGACTGAACATGTTCCTTGCTCTAATCAAAATGATTTGCCCTATAGACTTAGTTCTTGGCCATTTGAAACGTTATTTCCCTGTAATAGTGAATGTCAACTACAAGAGTTCAAACAGTATATAAAGGTATAAAAGATTACAAAATCTTATTCTTTGACCATTATCTCTCAGCACTGTGACTAGGAAACTATCATTTCTAGCATTTCCTATGCACACAAAGATGAGACAGAAAAAAGAAAAGATTAAGAAAATAGCATCTTAGGTTCTGGGAATATTGTATTCTATATAATTTTAAAACATCCTAGATATGAATACCCGAAGAAGCTATTTACAATTTAGAAACAAGCCTAAACACCATTTTAGGTGTTTAGTTACGCTCGCAATAATAACAGGAGGTCACCGGGTGTCACAAAGACAGATCTGAAAACCGACGTCCCTCTCTGTCAGATGACAGTGACTCCCTGGTGGTTGATCCTGTCTTGATTATTGGTTTTTGCTTCACCTGCGTGGTTATAACTCCTTTAATTTCCCTGATCCAAATAGTTTTTAATTATATTTCATAACTAGTTCACTACAGAGTCATACTCCTAAAAATCTCACCTTAGTCTAAGGGTTGAGAAAATGCAGGAACATTACTTTGGATGCATCTGAAATGCACGTCACAGCCACAGGTCTGTGGCACGCTGAGACCATAATGGACAAGGCAGGTTTAGCAGCAATGCCCATGATAACAGCAGCTAGGGTATGGGCAAGATATAATTCTTCCCAGAATCCTCTATGATGTAAATCACATTGTTCCACGAACAGTCCTCATGTCACATATCCAACAGGATTCTTTGTGTGAGAGGACAGTGTGTGTGTGTGTGTGTGTGTGTGTGTGTGTGTGTGTGTGTGTGTACATGTACATGCGTGTGGAAGTCAAGGGCCAGCCTCAGCTATTATTTCGCAGGTTTCTGCTATCACCTTGTTTTTTTTTTGAGACAGAGTCTCTCAGTGGGACTCAGGTCTCTTCAATGAGGATAGGCTACATGGCCAGTTTCCGTTACTCCATTTCTGGGATCATAAAGGTTTGACACCATGCCTGGCTGTTTATGTGGGTGCTGGGGGTTGCACTCAAGTCCTTATATTTACAAGCTAAGCATTTCACCAACCAGGCCATCACCCTAGCTCCCCTAAATGGACTCTTGTAAGGAAAATTACTCTATGTTGTTTTCCCCTACAAAACCCCACTGTCTTCGCAAGGGTACACAAGAAAAATGCTCTGAACAGCATCAGGTACACCACCATTTCTCTGCGATGACCTCATGGCTCCTCTAGAGTAAAGCATGGCTCTCATGATGGGCTGTCTTTGAACTCTTCAGCAGCAACTGGATCCTGTGCTCCCAGTGAAGGGACTCACATGGAACAGCCCGGCCAGTGGACACAGCAAGTCTTCCTTCCTTACCTCTTTGGCCCATGCAGGCTTCTCACTGGGACTCATGCCCTCCTTGTAATGGTACAGCGGCTTCTTCTCCAAGGGCCTCTGCTCCTGCCGCTGATGTTGGAGGGAAACCAGGTAGTCTCTCTCTTGCTTCAGCTGCCTCTGCAGTCTTTCTGCTTGTCTCTGCTCCTCCAGCTGTTTGCGCTTATATTCCTACCCGGAGCAGGAAGAGCAAAGAAGTCGTGAGACCACAGGGCACCACAACACCACACCAAGCAGCGGTAAAGCATACAGTGGAGGCAAAATAGAACCAAAAACAAACAGAACTCCAAGAAGGACAAGGGGTGCCCCCAAGTAAGCTGAGGCCTCATGTTAGTGTCCACACAAGAATATGTCAATAAAACCACGATTGCTTTAATGTCAGTCCCTAGAGAACATGTCTTGAGAAGTGACAGGACCCTGGAGAACTGCAAAGCAGATACAGGACGGTCAGACTGTCACTCGTAGAAGGAGTCACCTAATTTGGTAAATCAGCTATTCAGACATATGTGACGGAGTATAAAGTCAAATAAACAACCAGCGCTCATATCTAAATCATCCTTTAAGCAAAACCTGGACTACTAAAGCTATTAGGAAGCTTATGTATAAAGTTAAAAAAAATAACAATGCCATCGAATAAAAAATTCAGTTAAAAATAAAAAACCAAGAAATAAAACAAACAAACAAACAAACAAACAAAAACAAGAAGCCCATTTGGAGAGCCATGCAGTAATAATAATAAAAGTTCTTCTAGTGAATACAGCCTGAGCAAGAAACAAACTGTTCCCCATTGTAAGGGCAAGACTAAGAGCCTGCAAATGAGAAATGACTGCAGGGCTGAGCAGGCTCTGTGGCCGAGGCGCATTTGCAGTGATTGTATTCCAGCATGTTGCAAACAGCTTTCAAAATTACTCTGCAATAAACACAGTGGGTTTTGAAAGCAGTTTGAACTTATAATAAGGCTGGATTCATGCTAAACTTTCTCAAATAGATGGAGTTAATAAAGTGTGCTAAATGGTTGAGGAGTTAGCAAATTGGGTCAGGCAATTTTAGGAAGCCTCTGTGAGGTTCTGAGGTCTAGGAGGTTGGAAGAAAAGACCTCGCATTTTTAAGTGGCACATTAGGAGGAGGAAACACAGACATATATACGCACACACATGCACGCACGCACTCACATATGCACACACGCACGCACACATGCAGCATGGACACCAAGCAGATCAGCTGGCGTGTTAACTTTCCCATTACCAGAAGTAGAGCTTGTTCATGCAGTAGCTGCTGCTGCAAGATCTCTAACTGTCTTTGCTCTTCCTCTAACTGTCGCCTGATGTATTCCTGGAGAGGCGGCAGCAGAGAGTTTGGCAGAACGGAAGGAGGAAAAGAGAGAGAAAGAACCAGTAATTGCAAAGGGACAGGAGCTTTCAAGTAAAATGCAGGAGAGAGGAGGAGAAAAAAATACCCAACACCTCACCGAACAGGAAGAGGAGGCCTTAGCAAAGCCGAGCCTTTCAACACAGTCAAAAGCACAGCCCAATTGCTTGTCTCTGCTCACTGAGCTGACTTGGCATCTCACTGTCTGTTTGGTTTTTAATGAAACCACTATGTTAAAGCTCGGTATTAGGCTCCTCTCTTATGAAATCTAAGGAATTAACAAGGATAGAAGACATGTGCAAGGCTTGCTTATTCGTGGTCATTGTAATAGAACCAATTCTGCAGCTCACTGACTTGGTGTAATTTTTATCAGTGAGAGAGAGGCCACTACCAAGGGTTCAGAGCTGGAGAGCAGAGATGACCTGATCAACATGGCTCATCTTCAATGATGGAAGAGTGGGAACTTGGTTCAGAGCCGGGAAGTCAGAAATTTCAGGTACACCAGAAGAGGTCCTGGTTTTGGTGGGAAGGGTGGGTATTCTCAAGCTGTGCACTTGACTTTTTGAATAGGTAAGAACTGTTGCTTGAGAGAAAGCAAAAGCTATAGAAGAGCAGCCTTTGGAGACTATGTCCCACACCCAGCGCTCCCTGATGCTGTGGTTCCCAAGGGGCCCTGCCTGAGTGGGCTTTCCACCTCCCGGTACCTGCTCATGCTCTGCGCGCCTCCTCTCCTCCTCCCGGCGCATCTGCTCTTCATAGTGCCGGCGCTGTTCCCTCTCCTGCTGCTTCCGAAGCTCCTTTTCTCGCCTTTGTTGCTGTGGGATGACAAGCAGACATCATGATGGCAGTGGGAGCTGGTGATGTTAGCATGAGATCTGCCCAGGGACAGACACGAGTTCTCAAGAACAGATAACGGAACGCTCCAAGGCTTTTTCTCCTGGGCTGCTGGGCACCATATTGGCAGGAAGGGATGATGCCAAGATTTGGGGTTATGTAGACCACTTTGGCATTTACCATGTATGTGGACTATCACCAAGATACGCAAGTTGGAATTGTCCAACCAGGCTGGAAAAGACCATCCATCTCTGAGGTGTCGTAGACTCTTGAAATCCATCACAATACTTACATCCTTCAGTCATCCTAATATCATGTCATACAAAGATTCCAAGGACATAAGGATAGGGAAGAAGAGTGGATATTTAAGGCCACATGCTGAACAGAACTGATAGACTCCTGCTCAGACCACATCTCTGTTGCTCACACCAAGCTGCTTCTGTTTGCCAGATGATTCAATTCGTGAATGCAGACTTCACCTTCTTGCTCGGGTCAGCCCTATGCTGACAGAACATCATCATGATGTCATTGTCATCCTCATCCCACACAATTGCTCTACCCAAGAGTGTATAGAGCAATTCACATCTTATGTATCTATCTTATTTAATCTTTGGAGGTAGATGTCATTATCCCAGGTCTATAGGAGAATACTAAGGCAGGGGGAGAATAATTGTTCAAAGTCAGCCATGTGTTCCAGGACCTAAGCTCAATTATTATGCAGATGGAGAGACAGAAAATGAAGCACACCAAATTATTCTGATTCTTCATTCCACTTTCAGAAAAGGAACTGGCTAGGAGACCTGAGAACTGAGCTAAGGAGCTGGTGCTTTTCATGTAGGGGTTGTAGCATTCCCCATCTCTGGACAGTAGAAACTGCAGGGGCATGTTTGAAGGCCTTTTGTGGCTGTCCTAGTAAGCTGAGCCACATGACTGGTATTTGCATGAGGGGGCGGATATGCCAGGTATCTTACAATGCCTAGTACTATACTTAAAACAATGTGCTCTCCAGTACCACTGGTACCATCTATTTTGGGAACAGCTGTGACCTCTTGTGTCAGGCCCTGTACTAGCATTGACTTTTTTTCTTCCGCAGGAGGTGCTGAGAAAGCAGGCCAGGGACTACTCCTCACGATATTCTCAGGGCACATCTGTGCATGGTGAGGAGGGGTGAGATCATCCAGACAGAACAGCCTACAACCACATCACATTGACAGGCCAGTTCTGCAGAAGCAAGGAAAGAGCCAGCCCACCGTCTGGTCTGGTCTGCCCCAGACCCTCAGAATGCCAAGAAAGCTTTTTTGCTCTAGTTTCTGCTGCCATCTTCCAGACATGCTGTGTATCAGTGACCTCAGAACCTTAGGAGAGATGTGGTCCTTTCATACTCAATGTCCACCATTTCCTGACTTGACAACTACGTGTCCACCTTGCACTTGTACATGATGAAGACCCCCTGCAGGGCTCTGTGCAGCCAAATGATACAACAGGACCTGCTATTTCAAAAAGGCCTCCAACAGCTACGGGCAGGGGTCAGAGTAGACACCAAAGAAGCAGGGTGAGGCCTTCTTACAGATCTAGGCATGAGCCAACATGCATCAATGACGTCACAAAGACAGGCTGAGTACATCTGTCATCCTTACCGCTGAGGAAGGAGAAGTATAGAGGAAGAAGAAAGGTTCTAGATTTCTAGTCACTCTAGAATGAATGGCCTGGATGTCTAGTTAGGAATTACAAGCAGGCCAACCTACAACAGGGCGGTTCTGCAGACAGTGTGTGTGAGAATGGGTAGACCTCTTGGCTGAGAACCATCCCGTACAGTGCAACAAGAGCAGAGAGAGAAACAGGTGATGAAACGTGGTGATGCCAGACAGGCAATTATTTGTTTCTCAGAAAAAAAAAATAATTTAGAGGAGCATGAAGGGAAAACATCGTCGTAGGGACTGACTGAATAATTTGGATTACGTACCCAAAGCTAGAGGCATTTCCAACACTCGACTGAAGTGAATTAGCTCAATCCCAGAGAATAAAATAATTATGTGTACAGATCTGGCTCCTGGCAGGAAATGGCCCTCATTTAGCTAACATTTCAAGCTTGTTACTCTTACTGGTTTCTTTCTCGAGGAAAAAAAAATCAAGCCCTTTGAAGATTTAGCTGAATTTTATGTGGAAGAGCTGTCCATTTTTAGTCCGTCTGCCAAGAATCGATACCGTTCTATAATTACATGCCACTCAGGATCCCACATAAGGTATACACAATATTGACTGCAACTGAAGAAGGTAGGGCTTCCCAGGTATTCTGCTGCTTCTGAGAAACACACTCAAAAGTGGCTAATAATTAATAATGATCTCACTCAGATCAGCCACTGGTCACACAGAGGCATCTGCCAGGTTCCTGCTGTGAAGTTAGAAAAATAAATTGCCTTCCCCAGCCTTCTGAGGGCACCCTGCCAACTCCCACCTGTGTGTCTCAAGGTCGATGCCTTTCCTAGAAAGATGTTTACTGTCTCTCCTCCTGGGCATGGTGCTGTTGGAGGGGGACATATCAAAACATCAAGAAAAATTTCTGGCTTCAAGGAGGTCCCTTACAAAGCCTTTGACGGCTCTTGCTAGAAGCAGCTTTTCGAGGACAAGGCCAAGGCTCAATTCCTGCTCAAATTAAACCTCTCACATGAGTCCTGATACCTGGCAGGTGCATGTTAAAAAATGTGTCATGCTAAGATGGTGCTGCATGAGCAGATGCTGAGACTCATAACCAAACCCTGGGCAGAGTGCAGGGAATCATGAAAGAAAGGGGAGTTAGTAAGACCTGGAGAGGACGGGAGTACCACAAGGACCAAATATATCCGGGCACAGGGGTCTTTTCTGAAACTGATTCGACAACAAAGGACCAAGCATGGATATAACCTAGAACTCCTGCTCAGACATAGCCCATGGCAGCTCAGCATCCAAGTGGGTTTCCCTAGTAAGGGGAACAGGGACTGTCTCCGACATGAACTCAGTGGCCGGCTCTTTGACCACGGCCCCCCACGAGGGAGGAGCAGCCTTGCTAGGCCACAGAAGAGGACATTGCAGCCAGTCCTGATGATACTTGACAAATTAGGATCATATGGAAGGGGAGGAGGACCTCCCCTATCAGTGGGCAGGGAGAGGGGCAGGGAGGAGATGAGGGAGGGAGGTTGGGGTTGGGAGGGAATGAAGGAGGGGTCTACAGCTGGGATACAAAGTAAATAACCTGTAATTAATATAAAAAATAAAAATTATATTAAAAAAACGGTGGTGCTGCATGGCTGTAATCCTACCTAGTTGTAGGGCTGAGGCAGAAGAAATGCCACGAGTTTAGGATCAGTCAGGGCTATATAGTGAGACTCTGTCTCAAAAATTTTTTTTTTCACTCAACAGAATAAAAACCTTTGGGCAAAAGAAAAAAAAAACCCTAACACTATCCTCCTAAAGTGTTTTGAAGTTTTCTTATTAGTATTAATGAGCATATTATAATTCATATTATTTTTGTTTTTATCAAATTTGTGATCTAGATTGATAGTTATTTGTGTGTCTCTATTTCATACCAGGTTTTATCTTTTTTTTAAAAAAAGATTTATTTCCTGAATTTTCATTTGTGTATGTGTTTGTGCCTGAATGAATTATGTATACCACATACATTCAGGGATCAGGGAGAGTGTAGGAAGCCCCTGGAATTGGAGTTACATGCAGCTGTTAGCCACCCAGTTTGGATCCTAGGATTTGAATTCTGGTCCTCCGCAAGATCAGTAAGCCCTCTTCACTGTTGAGCATTTGCTTTGTCTGTTTCTCATACTTTGTATCATTGCTCATATTTGTTGTATTGAAGACTGTGAGCTGAAAAACAGTACAAGGGGACTGTGCTAGTTTGTTTTAACTGTCTACTTGACACAACCCAGAATTCAGGGATAAGATCAGGTTGGCCTGTGAGCATGTCTGTAGGGAATTGTCTTGGTTGCTGATTGATGGATGAGGACCCAGCTCACTGCAGGCAGCACCATTTCCTGGGCTAGGCTCTACAGAGTGAGGGAAGCTGGCTGACAGCAAGCCAGCAGCATGGGTTTATTTGTTTCTCTCTGCTCTTGTTTGTGGATGTGATGTGCCCATCTGCTTGACTTCATGCAATAATGGATGGCAAGGTGGAGTTTTAAGCCAAATAAATGCTTTTTGTCTAAAGTTGCTTTTTGCTAGAGTATTTGTCACAGTAACAGAAAGAAAACTAGGACTAGGATGGAGTGAAAGAAAACCTTGCAGAGACTGAGAAAAACCTGCCCTTCAGAGGCAGCTCTCGAAGGCTTGAAGGTCCTTCACAGCATGCACACAGGAAATTGAAAACATTGCAAAAACCCAAACATCAACATCAACAAAACAGTCATCTGCAATTGGTCCTGACAGAACTCTGCATATTGGAGAAAAGTGTGAAAATAAAACAAGAACTACAAACCTGGGCTGGAATGAATGGAGAGCAGAGAACTAAAACGGTATTCTTAGATTGCATCTGAATTATGTATAATGATTGTCGTGGTCCTGTCATCAAAAAGAATGTCTTCAACCAACTAGACAGCAGCTCTAGTCACAGCAGATAGGTCACCAATGGGGAGGAGCCTACAAGTTCTCGTTCATATCCTCTTAGAGGCACTGTCAAAGTTGAACTCCTTAAAATTAGAAACTCAGTTAGATTGTAATAGAGTCTTCATATTTTTTCCTGGCTGGGGAATAAATAAGCATGTTCTCCAGGTTAATACAATCATTGCCGTATTTTAGTGTAGCCTAGCGGCCCTTCTTGCACCAATGAGAGGGGTACAATCACTACTTTTTCTATCACTGTGACAAAAATATCTGAACAAAAGCAACCTAAGGATGGAAGGGCTTATCGTAGCTTACTGTGGTGGGAAAGGCATGGAGTTAGGAACTCCAGGCAACTGCTCACGCTGAATCAGGAAGCAGAGCGATGAAAGCTGGTACCTGGCTTGCCTTGTCCTTCCTGTTTGTCTAGTCTGGACCCCTGGCCCAGGGGATGGTATCACCCTCCTCAGTTAAACCTCTCTGTAAACAGTCTTGGACACACCTGGAGGTATGTTTCCTGGGTAGCTCTAAGGAAGATCAGCCACAACAGGGGGCCAGTTCTGAGCCTCTGCTTTCATGTCTATTTAGGATACTCCTAGGCGGATGCTGTTTTCAAGTAAACTGCTTAGTCAATTTTAATGAAGAAGTATCAAAGCTACCAGTCTTTGTCTTCTTGCTGGAGGTTATCACCTTTAAACAGCAGATGTCTCACAGGTATGGGTGTAAATAATCGCTCTTGGGCATGCTCAATACAGGACACACCTTCTCTTCTTGGATGGACAACTGCTTGTGTTTACCTCATTTCCTGGGTGTTAGGAAGCTCAGAGTCATACCAGCGGCCACAACTGACAGCTGTGCTCACTGAATTTCAAGTTATCTGGGTATCCTAAGAGCCAGCCGCTCTTGCTTTCAACTCATCTTTTTAGTTCATTTTCTTATCCATTATATTTTCAGTTGTTGTATTAACCTCTGTATACAGAGGTTCCACATTAAGTTCTGTTCTTAGAATGAAGAAAAGTTCATTGTAAGTACCACATTTCCCATTATTTGAACTCAGGGAAACATCCACGTTTGAGAATATTTTCTAATTGTATGTTAATGTTATGGGGTAGGGAGAGGAGTCAGTAAGGCTGGGGAGAAGACACATTAGATCAGAAATATTAAGACTAGATTCTGGAAAGCCTCCAATAAGAACCCAGCAGTGTTCTCTATAAATATTTGTTTAATGAATGAATCAGTGTTACAGGCTGTATTAGAGACTTTCATTTAAACTTTCCATGCAGTGGCCCAATAGGTGGCCTTCA